ATATGTTTTCAATAAAATTTAAATTCAATTTCAAGATCAATTTACATAATTCTTGGTAAATATGAAAGAGTAAAGGAATCTATTTCCTTTCAGATCAATTTACCCAAGACAAATGAAGCTGATCCATATCTGCAGTTTAGAAAGCGAAAAATCGGTTTCCAGAAACCGCAAAACCAGAAGCAGAAGCCACCAGGAAAAGCGGTTACCTAGAGGAGAGTTCACAATTATTTAAATCAGTTTTGTCTAGCTTCAATTGAAGGCGTCTGTCGAGTGTCTCCCTCTGCGAACGCGAAATTAATTGAGACAACAGCGGCAAATTGTCGAGTGCTCCCGGGTATCCCCCAGTTGCATCTGCATATCTATGGTTGACTTGGTATGGGTATCTCAGTCTGGTTGTCTGGGCCAGCAGTCGGTCGGTTGTCATAGGGCTTCTCCACAAATGCAGTTGGATAACGGAAGAGGTGAACTAGAGGCTTGAGCTGGAGAAGGGGGATTGCATTTTGTATCTGAACTTTTGATCCCCGAGGGGTGATTGAAGCAATTCCAGGAGCGAAAGAACTTAAAAACTTTTTAAATTTAAACCATATTTTTATGAATGTAGAATTAAATTGTATCTCTTAATTGTTATCGTGGGAGATGAGAAATTCGTTATAATTTGTGATCTTATTCTTATATTCAGTGTCATCCTCCCTTATTCTGTTTATACAGAATGATCTCAAGCTGATCTCAAACAGATCCCACAGCATCCATCTTACAATTTGCATAAATATCAATTAAGACAGGGTCTAATATATGTTATAAATCAATCCTATAGTATACATATATTCGAGATATGTCTCATATATGGCGAGGAATGTTATCTCATCGTCCCCGCTGTTTTTCAATTGTGTTTTGTGTTTCGTGCGAGAAGCACGATCAATTTAATGGGTGGAGTGCTCCAATTCTGATTCGACTTCTTTATTGACAGCTTTATGAGTCCTCGGGCAGCCCTCTCAATCGCTCTGGTGGGGAATTGTTTCGTCCCCCATTTAATTTTATCGCAGATTTTGCAGATTTAGAGCAATAAACTTTATGAATCGGGGAGACATCAGCAACTGGGGTCGCCTCACTCCAGCGGAGTGTTTTAGGGAACCGTTAGATGCCGAAAGATTTCGAAGAGCCACCGCAGCGGAGTTTAATTGACGTCGCTCGCCGTCCCATTAATGCTAATTTGGACCGATTTGGTTCGAGATGTTTGGGCAACTTTGGCAATGGAAACAAAAGATACAAAGAGCCCAAACAAAGCGAGGCAAAAGAATCAAACAAACGGTTCTACACGCCCAACTGATACAGCGAAATTATTTATTCGAATCTCAGGCCTCCGTCTTCCCTGAGTTCTCACTTTCCGTCAAGTCAGCGAAATGAACGAATCGAGGGAAGGGAACGCGAGGCTTTGCTTCGGATTCCCATTTCGCTGGAATCTGGGCGCAAGCCCGACATGGGAATGTTTTTATTCGGTTGTTGTCGCCAACAAACCCATAATAAACACCTTAAAAATGTCAGAACATCATAAGGCCAGCCGTCTCCTGGCACCTCTCCTCTTTCCAAATCTGGCGAATAATTTCATGAAATTGAAAGAGCTGCCAATAAATTTGCTGCGCCCTCGATTTCCGACGTTTGACATTGGCATTAGCCGGGCAAAAAGGCAAAGCCTTGCCTTTACGGGTAATCTTTCCTCTGGGAACCTCTTTTTCTTCAGAGCGTAACGCCACGCACGCGCTGTTCAAAAAAGAGGATAAGGGGATCCCAAAAAGGGCAGCTACTCCTACTTCTTATGCTTCTCCTCATGTTGCTGCTGCTGTTTTCATGCCTTTTCTGCACCTCGAAGGCTGTGGTCGCCTCGTTTTATTTTTATTTTTGGAGTATATATTTTTTTTTTTTTTGGTAGGCGGACGACAATCTAGTTCGGTTGCCAGCAGGCAAGAAATGCAGGAGGCGCAGTACTGAGTTCAGAAGCAAGGACAGTGTCCGAAAAAAGGTAATGTTTTAAGTTATGTACTATATTATTTTGTAGATTTCTTTATGAAGAAAATACTCCAATATCAAGTTCAATTTCTATATTGATTGATTTTTAATAAATCGATGAATTACTTGCCCAAATACAAGTTCAAATTTAAATTTAATTTCTTTCAAAAAGAGAAAATCTATTAAATTTATTTTATTATTATATATATTATATATTAAAATTGCTAAAACTTTTTATAATTTGTATATAAAATAGTTTAAAGAATGTCTATCCCGTACCAGTTTAATAATAATATTTATATCAACAAAGGAATGAAATTCCAATTGGTTTTTATTACGTCTGTGCCTTGACTGAATGCCAACATTATTATATTTACAATAGTGGAATCTCTACATAAAAGAAATTTGCAGGTTTCTTCGAAATGGAATATTTGTACATCCCATAGGTAGTGCCAGTTACAAAAACGGTATAATGCTACTGTGCGAACCACCTCGTACAAGCACCTAACAAATTCAAGTACATTGATTTTATAATAACTGATCCACAAGACCCCCCAGTTGTTTTCAGTGGGAAGACCGGGGAAAGGGAGTGGAAGAGCAGATCCTGAGCCGAGTTCAATGTCAAGTTCGTGAGCTCCTTCCCCATTTTGCTTCCTCCACTGCTTTACCATGTGCTTGCTCCGCCTGCGCTTTTGTTGTTGTTGCTTTTTGCCTTTTGCAGTCTCCCACGGGAGTTGCCTGCTGCTGTTGCCATAGTGGCTGTTATTGTTGGGTTGTATGCGCTCATCGCCAAAGTCATACTACTGGCCACGCCCCGAATGTGACGGCATAGGCGCCAGGCTGCCCAAAAAAAAAAGAGTTTGGGTGCCCCCCAACTTCTTCACCTCTCCTCGCGCTCTCGATCCCCACTATATCTGTCCTGACTGCTCTCTCGCTCTCTCCCTTGTCTGCCAGCCTGGCTGTCATCTCCCTCCCACGGCCCGTTAAGTGGCCACTTTGGCGTCTCGCGAGATTTCTATCTCACCGCGTGCGCCCCCCTTCCTTCATGTCAAGGACGCAATCTGAGTCACGCTTATGACAACCGAGCATGAGTGAGTGAGTCATTGTCCAAAATTCTGGAATTCGAGATCCCCAAAAAGGTAAAATAAAGCCCTATAAGAAAAAAGTTGCCGAAATTGGGCAAAGGGAGTTATTCAAGCGGAAAGCAGGGCGTCGAACGAAGCAGGCAAGCAAAACAAAAGCGCTTAAAGGGTTAATATAGCAACAAAAACCACAACAACAAAAAGTTCAAGTTATGCAATAAGAATATGTCCCCTACCTCCCCGCAGCATCCACATCACTTAATTTTTGTTTGTTTTCATCGCCGTTTTATGGCGTTAAAGGTTCTCTGCTTTTCCACTTCCTTCCCCGCTGTTGCTATTGCTGTTGTTGTTTTCGCGTACGTAGTGGTGGTTTCTGGTGGTTGCAACGCCAAAAAATAAAACACGAAAAACAAACGGAAACAGGCGAGATGACGGAGTTTAATTAGCGCGTTTTAAACTAATTAAACACGCGAGATTATCTAGCGCCCCCTCACGCAAATTTGAAGTTTTACGTTTTATATTTTCGACAGCAACAACAATTAATCTCCCGGCTCCCTGGCTGCTTGCAGGAACAGTTAGTTTTGGGAGAGCGAAAGAGAGAGCCGGCTGCTGCACGCACACCAACGCACGCACCAAGCACACGGGAATTTTATTGATTTTTCACACACACACTGACACAAACGGGGGCAGAGAGAGGCAGGCACAATAATAAACAGGAGCTGTAGAGATAACAGCAAAAAGAGCCTGATAATGGCAAATAACGAAAAGAAGCAGCGAAAGCAACAACAACCGGGCAAAGAGTGTAATTTGCAACACAAAGGTAAACCCGAAAAGTGCATTACACCGCCCCAGACTCACTCTTTTCAATGCTCTCGCTCTCTTTCTCTTTCCCTTTCCCTCTTTCTTCCTGCACAACTCCGTTTTGCTCCTTTCGCCGCAGACTTGGCAGATTTTGGCACACGCCCAAAATTAAGCGAATGGCCGCACAATAACAAAAAACGAAACGCACACTCACACTCTGCACTCGCAAAAACAACAACAATTCCAGTAAATGCCGGGGGTAGCAACTACCGTTAGTTATCCTTTGGGACTCACTTTCTGGCTCCCTCGCTCTCTTCTTTTCTCCTCCGCTGCAACTTTTGGATGGCGTTCTTTGGCTTTATTATATATTTTTTAGCACTGCCCACTAATTAATCACTCGTGAACTTAAACTAAGGCGCGCGACTTTCGTTTAATTATTGTTGCACTTTGACTGCGAATAAAAGGAGGAAGGAAGAACGCGCGCCAACTCCCTTGCACATTTACAGTTAGTTTTCACGTTCGCGAAATTTCACATGTTTTGGGCAAAAACAATGCGCGCCCTTAGTTCTACGAATTTCAGACACGATAAAAAAATTGCAGCAAAATTTCACGCCGCCAGTTATTTTCTCTTAAAACTGTTTTTGAATTGTTGTTGAATTTTTTTCGAATGCGCTTTGCACTCGTATTTATAAACGTCCAGACGAAAATTTGGCCCTAAAAAATCTGAAAATGGCAATCTCCTAAAAAATCCACATCTGACACTCGAACCACACCCGATACTACAACCCAGAGGAGAGTAACAGAGTTTAACAGAATACGTTAAATCCGAATCGGGCATGGAGTAAAGAGCAGAAAAGAGTGTGATATTTGAACGACTTCTAATTATATATTTAAGAATTATTTTTATAATTAATAATTAAGCGGTACGATAGCAGATAGCAGACTTTTGCTGGAATTTTAGTGATAACAGAATTTTGGTAGTGAATTTTACAGAGTGACCAGTGATTATGTGGAACAGTCAAAACTCCCCGTAGTGTTGGATAACGTTCACTTAAAAACAGGCGGCAACTCTGCTGTAAAACGGTAAATTCAAAAGTTTTTTTTTGTATGGCGCACGTGTCAGTCCCCCGTTACGTTTGTTGTCAATGAATTGTGAATTTTGTTGGGTAATTATCATGTTAATTCTGCACCTGTTGCTGTGGCCAGTCCTTTTCGGGACCTTGGCCGCTGCCCCGCCCTCCGCCTCCGTTGCCCAGAAGGCGGCAGAGGTAGCCAAGTTGCGCAGCGAATTGGAAAAAGCTCTGGACGACAACGAAGGAGTGCAGGTAAGGAGCAACTGGGACTTGTGGCTTGGTTATCTGGAAGCTCTCCTTTACAGCCCCAAGGTGATGGTCCAGTGGTGGCGCCCAAGTGGACGCACCAGGGCGGGAAGCCCAACCTGGGACCGCCAGCCAAGGTAGTTGTGGACACCGCCTCGCTGAACAGCGCCGCCGCCCTGCGCCAAGAGATTCAGCAGGCGGTGGCCCAGCAGGGACAGGCCCCGGAGGTGGTGCAGCTGGAGGCGCACCTCAAGGAGATAGCGGGCAGTGCTGGCAATGAGGCTATGACCGCCAAGGTGGGCAGCGGCCGCCAGGAGATGGTGGGCGCAGCAGCTAAAGATGACCTCGGGCCCAATGTGGTGGAGGCCAATGCGGTCCCAGGCATTGATCTAGAGCAGCTGCAGCGGCTGGAGCTCTCAAAGAGGCGCACTCGCGACATGCTCATCCTGGCCCGCATCGAGGAGCTGGTGAACGCTAGCCTGCCGGCGGAGGTGGACCACTGGTTCACCCTGCAGGCCAATGGCAGTGCCTTTTTAGTGGGCCAACAGCCGGAAACGCTCCTGGTGCTATCCTCGGATTTTAAGCCCCGCCAGATTTATACCCTTCCCTCTCCGGTGTCGGCTCTGCTGACGCTGGATCGCTGGAATAGCAAGCGGCACGTTCAGGAGGGACTCCTCGTGATGGCCACCATGGAAAACCAGCTCCATTGGTTGCGCCTGGAGCCAGAGCAGGCGGAACTGACTGCCTTCTGGAACTGGCCACTGGGCAGTGGCGGGGGAACGGTGACCAAGATGTGCGCCTTTAGCCTGGAGGGAGGCAACTTCCTCGCCCTGATGGGCAATCGGACACTCAGTATCTATGCCTACGACCTGGAGGCCGAGGAGTTCTGGATTGCCCAGCGATTGCAGCTGGCGGAGGAGATCTCCGACCTGGCCGTGCTCGATGCCGGGCGAGAGGTGCTTCTGGTTGTGGGCCAGTTTGACGAGGCCCTCATCTATACCTGCAGTCCCAAGGGAGAGCAGCTGCAGCTGCGCCAACGTCTGGTGGCGCCGCATGTCACCGGCATCACGGCCTTTCACATGGGAGGTCGCAGCTACCTGGCTCTGGGCGGGATCACGCCCCAGATCTTGGTCTATGTACAGGGTCAGCTACTGCCTCGGACGATTCTGGGCCAGAATTTCGGTTTTGTGGAACACTTCCTGCCCGTTCCCGTGCGCAGTTATCGGGACGATCTGCTGCTGCTTGTTCAGCATCGCGTCGAGTTCGATCCGCACTCGCTACTCGTAGTCGAGCTGCTCGTGTGGACGGGTGACGCCTTCGAGGCGGGTCTGCCCGCTCCCTGTGGTGATGGCCTCTTCGGCGTCAGCTGCCTGCTGGATCAGGAGCGAGACGGAGGCATAGCAGGGGCTGCCCTGCTCCGCCAGCTGGATCAGCCGCCACTGGTGCTGGTTCCGCGCAAGCAGGCGCCTTCGGGCCTGTTCCGCTTGGAGACAAAGCTGCTGGCTAGGAACTCGGAGTCGCAGGACCTGCAGGAGATCCACCAGTTCATGCTGAATTGGGTGCACGAGCAGGATATGATTATCCAGCTGGCTGAACAGTTGCTGAGTGAGGAGGAGGAGCAGGAGGCGCACTACGAAGAGGTGTCCACTCCGCTGGTGGTCAGCGAAGGCGGTGCCATTGAAGAGCTCTTCGTTAACAACGTCCGCTATACGGGCGAAGATGCTGCCCTGGATATGCTCGAGCTCCTTAATCAGATTCGCCACGTGGATGAGCAGCTTTCCCGGTTGGTTCCCAAGCGAGCAAAGCGCCAGCCGGATGCTCTGTTCAACTTTCACTACGAGAAACTTGAGGTGGATGCCATCGAGGCTGGGCAGCTCATAGTGGAGCAGGTGAACCAAGTGCCTTTCTACATACAAAGCTCCTCGCTGGAGCTGCCGCTGGGTACACTGAATGTCCACCAGTTGGAGCTGATGGTGCCGCCAGAGGAGAAGTTCGATCCTGTTGGAGGAAGCGAGTCCCATGAGACCTTGCAGCTGGCTGGCGATTTGGAATGCTCGGTCATCAATGGAATGAGGTGGAGCTCGTTTCTCGAGGAGCTGGTGTGGCGGCATCGTCCCCTAAAGCTGGCTCAGCTGACTGTGGATGGAGTAAGTCGCTGTTTGTGGCTAGTATTATCTAGATCATGTCTTTTTATCGCTTTCCACAGCCCGTAATCTTTGAGGATTCACTGCATCTGAACTCCCTGAACGAGCTGAGCTTCCCGGGGGACTATCTGTGGTCGCAGGGCAATGAGACTAGCGTTGTCCAGGCGCCCAAGGAGTTTATCAACACACTCTGTGAGTGGCCTAAGGAGAAGTTATATGTGGATTATAATCTTTAATAGTTGCTCTTTTTTGCTATCTTTCCCAGCTGTGAATGCCATTGACACTTCCGGTACCATTAACGGGGTTAATCCCCAGGATGCCATCACTTTAAATGATGCCCAGGACTGGCCGGGATGGGTCACCTTCTCCCATTTGGAGGTATCTGAGCAATTGGAGGTGAGGTTTAGTTTAGTTTTTTTTTTAATTCTGTTTATTATTTTGTTCATTTGTTCATAGCTGAATGGCAGTGCCCAGGGTCGTCAGTTCGACGAGGCGCCTCTGAATCCCACTCTGCTGGAATCCCGCCTCATCCACGCCGACTGTCACTTTGATCAGATTCTCGTAAAGGGACCAGTCCGGCTCTCTGGCAAGCTGGACAACGACAGCTTCGACTCCCTGCTGGGTGACCTGGTTCAGCGATCGACAGACCCCGGGCAGGAACTGCTAGTGACTGGCGCCAAACGTATGGATCACCTGCTCCTGCCAGTGGATGCTCACGTAGCGGATAATAAGCTCAGTGGGATTCCCCTGGATGACTTTGTGACCAAGCACTCGCCCCAAACTCTACATAATGTGACGCAACTGGGCGGATATGTCTATTTCCACCAGCTGCAGCTGGCCAAGGGCTTCGCTTACGATGGCGTCCGCCTGGAGGAGCTACTGGCCGAAAGCCTGCGGCTGGATGGACCAAATCCACTGATTTCACCCCGCACACGCCTCCGTTTTGTGGGCTCCTCTCCGCCCGAGCTCGAGCGCCTGCAAGTGAACCACAGCCTCAACCAGGTGCCACTGGCCAGTGGCTACCAGCTGCTCCACGAGCCGCTGCACCTTAACAGAGCTTCCTTTCAGAGCCTGGCGGCAGCGCAGGCTCAGGTGAACCACGATGTGTCAGGAGACGGTCTACTCAATGGCCAGAGCCTGGTTGATTTGTTGAAAGCGAAACCCCGCACCTGGTCGGGTGAGCTGCACGTCCAGGAGCTGATCCTCCCTCAGGGCGTACAAGCGGATCATCTGCAGGCCATAAAAGCCGACTTTCTGCTGGATTTCCTGCAGCAACTGGACGAATTGCCGCTGCTCATCCTCCAGGGACGACTGCAGGTGGAGCGCATAGCCGTCAGCGACTCGGTCCAGGTGGCGGAAACCCTCAACGGGCGGGACTTGAGCGAGCTGCAGCGCCAGGTGGTGTGGCTGGATAGACCCAACGAGCTGAGGACACGCTGGTTGCTCAAGGAAACCCCGCTTATCGAAGGAAACCTGCACATCCTGGGTAGCTACAACGAGCGCCTGCTGCCCGAACTGCTGGATGACATTGTGCTGAGACCCAAGGAGGGAGCACAGGCTGTGGAGCACATCATCGAGGGCACCAAGAGCTTCTTGGCACCCATTCATGCCGAGCAGCTGCAGCTCGAGGCTCTCAATGGGATTCCCTTCGAGCGGCTGGCCAACAAGGTCAGGGGTCAGAATATATCGGGTAATGTCCAGCTCCAGGGACGTCTCTTTGTGGAGGATCTTCGGCTGGAGGGTGCGCTTAATGGAGAGTCTCTGGAGAAGCTGGAGAAGCTAATAAGCTGGGATCCTGGCTATCAAAGCTTTGTCCAACGCGGTTATATCCCAGTTTCGGGCAAGCAACTGGAGCTGCTCTCAGTTCAGGGTCACCTGGGCAACAATAGGAGTGGCGAACCTCTACAGGAGATCTTCGATCAGCTAATCTTCAAGCATCAGCAGGCTGGCATCCGCCTCCAGGACCACAAGACCTTCACGGGACGCGTACGCATCCAGGAAGGAGCCCACATAAGCAGCCTGAATGGCCTGGACTTGGATCAGCTGCTAAAACAGCTCATCTTCATAGACTCGGAGGAGGAGGAGGTGTCCTTGCAGACTCCTGTTTTTTATGAGGCTGCCATAAGCATGGCTCATATGAAGCCGGAACGGCTGGTTCTGGCCGGAGAGCTGCTCAATGGCTGCAATGTGAGCCAGTGGCTGAGGGATACTATACGCGTGGATCGCGACTTTCCGGGCCCAAAAGGTGAGCAGGAGCAGAAGCAGAAGCAGGAGATTCCCTGAAGAAAAAACAAAACACTTTCCTTTTGTTTTTTTTTTTCAGTTACCTTTGCCCAAGGCTCCTTGGATGGCAACTCTTTGGCAGTGGAGCAGCTCAACCAAGTGGTCATGTCCAGAGTTGTGACCAGGAACACAGAGCAGCATCTGGTGGGCAACCTGACGGCCGAGGAGTTGCTTTTAGAGGGTCAATTACAAGTGGGTGACAGCGTCAATGGACGCAATCTGTCCGCGGAGTATGCCAACACCCTAATGGTGAGTCTCATCCAGGCTTTGACTGTGTGCATCCTTCACCTTCTCACCCCCTTTTCCTGCAGACCAATCCTTCAGGCAGAGAGCAAAGCGTGGATACCCCCCTATTCCTGGGTTCTATTGATGTCACCGGACCCCTGGACATCATCTCACCTGTGAGCGGCCTCAACCTCAGCGATGTGGCCACCCTTACCGTGGAGCCTGTGCGTCTAGAGTCGCCTCTTTACTTTGCCCGCCTGGAAGCACCCTTTTTGCAGACAGATCACCCCCTAAACGGCTTCGATTTCAGGGATTGGTATGAGCGCAGCCTGTGGGCCAGGGGCAGGACGCAGCAGGAAATCTCAGGCAGCTGGCGGGTAAAGAAGCTCCTCGTAAAACAGGCAGCGGATGAGCTGCGTCCCCGCCGACAGACGAATAAGGAGAGCTACCGAGACCTGTGTGAGCGCCTGTCGAGGATACTCCTGCCCTATCAGGTCCAGAAGCTGCGCCAGAGTTTCTCTTTGAAGCAGGAAGAGGATCAGGATGATGTGCGTCGCTTGTTTGCTGTAGAGCCACCAGGAGGCAGTACCTACCTGCTGGTAAACGAACGCGGCTGCTGGACGCGGCTTTACCGCTGGAATAACACGGGATTCGAGCGAGCCGGAGCTTTCCAGAGCGGCCCCGTGGACGAGGTGACGCCCCTGATGGTGAGCAACACCAGCTCTATGCCAGAGTTTGCCTTCATGACCAGCTATGAGCTGCAGGAGGACGAGCACGAGGCCAGCTGGAATTGCAGTGGCCTGAAAGCTACCCTCATCGGCTGGCAAATGACCCAGGAACGGCAGGCTATGGAGGAAATAGATGTGCCCCTGGCCAGGCTGAGGGCTCTCCAGGATGAGCTGCACAGCCAGCGCTCTCCCATCTACCAGGAGACCATCAGATACCTCAAGCGACCCACCATCGAATCGCAGTTGGGCAAGGAGTGGCAGCAGCAGAAGCAGAGACAGGAACTAGAACCCGCCGAGCTGGCCAGGATAAGGGGCCGCCTGCTGGACACCTTGGAATTTCGCCTGCAGGCGGAGGTTAACATCACCCAGCTGAGCATCCCCGAGAGCGATCTTTACGACGAGCACCTGGTGGAGGACTTTCTTCAGCTGCTGCAACAGCTGCGTGGTTTGCGAGGGCGGCTGAACCTCGAGGCACTGCCTCTGCCGGATACTCCGGCACGCGTGCTGGCCGCCCGCAGTGCCCAGCTCATCTGGCCGGTGTTACAGGAGCTGAAGGGGCTTTCGCAGGGAAATGGAACCGGGAAACAGGAATTGAAGCTGGAGCAGGCCCTGCTGGATGTTTTGGCGCTGGCCAATGATGGTAGCAGTGGTGGCTCTGGCGAGGATGAGAGGCTGCATGCGGTGATTGAGAGATTGCGGGGACTGCAGCAGGAACTGCATCAGCTGGAGGAGGATGAGGAAGAGGAGCAGCGGCAGGCGGCGGCTTCGAATAGAGAAGAGCAGTTCCTGCCACCGCCCTACCTCGACTGGCGGCCCCTTCAAACCCTTCGCCTCTATGTGGGACCCGCCCACCGACCCCGGCTCTTGTATGCTCGCCTAACCTTTCTGTCGCCCGCCGGTGGCCCTCCTCCCACGACGCCATCTACGGCACCACCTGCCCACATCCAAGTGCATCATGCCAATGGCTCAATCTTTCAGTCACTAGCTGCTGAGCGTGGCGCCCGCCACCTGACCACCTTGCGGGTGCGGGATGAGACCCTGCTGGCCTACGTCGAGGGCTGCTGCAATATCCGAGTGCTGATCTATCGCGGCGTCCAGGGTTTTGTGCCTTTTACCAGTTTCTCTGCTCCTCAAGAGAGTGGAAATGCGGAGGTTTTGCAGTTGCTTGGCCTGCGAGTGCCTCTGAAGCGTGCGCCAGGTGCTGTGTATTACCTGGCTGTGGTCCAGGCTCGACGAGTGATCTTCTACGAGCTGGTGGTAGTAGGATTGCTGGAGCCTTGGCTAAAGTGTCCTTAAATTTTGGAGAATCTGTGGGGTGGAATGCCCTTGAAAATGAGGTTTAATAGGAGTTGTTGTTTATGTGTTATTCTGTGTTTTTTTTTAGGCTAAAAATTAATTTTGTTAATGTATATTATTATTATTGTATTTTTGGGTTGAAACTAAAAACTGATAAATAAAATGTTGAAATGGTTAGTTGATGAGTTGGTGTAACGATGAGTTAGTGAATTGAAAAGTTGGTGAATTGTTGAACTTATGGATTAGTGAGTTAATAATTTCTTTAATTTCTAAATCTGTGTTTGTGTTTTTTAATTAAGATTGTTGAATTATGATTAGTTATTTCAACAAATTTTTGAGTTGTTGAGGTTCAAAATTAATAATTTCTTAAGTTGTTGAATTTTTATGTTGTTGATTTCAAATAATTGTGGAACCAGGGCTTGAAATATCTGTGAATTTTCCCCGATAATTCCAGAAATAGACCTTGTCTATCCCTAAATATAATTACCCTTTTTTCCACTCAGTAAAGACAACACCTATACTGATATCCCTTAACTACAAATATCGATATATCTTTTATTTCAAGGCTTCTAGTTACAGTTACACAATCCATATACACAGCGGAGGGCACACACATGGAGCTACATACATACGTGCTCCGCCTGGCCCCTCTGCTCGGTGATTGACTCTTACAGCCTAGGCCCGACTTACGACTACGGGTCCCCGGAAAGCGGATCCCCTATCCGGGGTGGGGTTAGAGGAGGGGAAGGACGACAGTGACTACAATAAATACACACACACATTGCGATGACAACAAGGTTCTAAAGGAAGAAAAGGAACAAAGGAGGAAAGGAACTGAAGGAAGCGGGGAAAACATATATACAGCTATGCCCGATGACCAAATCCAACGCCTACGACGAGGGAATCTTCACGGGCAGAAAGAGACGCGGATCGCCAATCTTGGGGCTCAGACGCACCACCACCTGGTCATCGCCGTCGCCCACTTCAAGGAACGAGTTCCAATCGGCCAGGAAGTAAAAGCCGTTCTTCTTCTTGGGCGGCGGCGGCTCTTCGCTGACGGGATCCGGGCCAAAGGAATCGGCCAGGTCGTCCAGAGAGCCATTCCGAGACTCCTCTGTGGTGGTGGTGGTCGAACTGGACTCCGGCTCCTGCTCTTCGGCTGCACCCTTGGTGTCGCCATCGGTGTCGGTGTCCAGGCCCAGACTCAGGCTGATCCTAGTCGGTGCCTGGGTCGTAGGGGCAGTGTCCTCCTCCTTCTTTCCAGCCTCGCTGGTGGTATCGTTGGCCTCGCTCTGCCTGCGCGACTTTAAGGTCTCATCCTGGCCTGTTTGCAAGGACTGCAGGTAGGCGGCATCGGGACTTGGACTCGAAGATGGACTCGGCGTACTGCTGACTGCCACCTGGTCCAGGCTAACGTTGAGCTGCTGCAGCTCCTGCAGGTTGCTAATCAAACGCTGCAGCTCACTGAGCTCGCTCTTGGAGTCCTCTCTCTTGTTCTTGGTCCGGGATTCCGCACCCACTCCCTCTCCCGCCTCCTCTTCCGGCTTGGCCAGCTGGTAGTTCAACTCGCTAAACTCCGCCATGAGGTCACCATCCAGCTCGCCCAGCCTGGCCTCTGAATCCCCACCATCCACAGCCAAGTCCTCCTCGGGCTCTCCTTCATCGCTGCGCCTGCGGAAGCCACTGCCCACGGAGAGACCCAACTTGGGCGCCAGCTCTGTGCTCACGCCTATCCTATTGGCCGCCCGCTTGATGGCCGCCTCGATGATCTTGGTGGCACTGAAGACGGGCAGCTCCAGGCTGCTCTCCGTGCTGGGTTTGGCTGGCTCCAGTGGCTGGATGCGTATTCTGGGGCGGCTGGTGGTTAAGGAGAAGACAGCCGGCGAGGAGGTGTCATGCACCTGGACAGGAGCAGGCGTTGTGGTGGTGGTGCTGCTGGAGGAGGAGGAGGAGGAGGAGGTGGCCTGCAGCTGGCTCTCCAGCTGCTGCGACAGCTCATGGGGCAAGGCCACGCCCAGCTTCTGCAGCTGCTGGGTATTGTAGAGTAGCTTTTGCAGCTCTGCTAGATCGGCCTTCCTGGGACTAATGGTGGTGCTAGTGGTGACGACCCTTTTGGCGGGCACAAAGCGTGGCGGTGATGGTGGAGTGGCCTGGTTTTGGACCGTCTTGTAAATGGGCTGCATGTGCTGGTAGCTCTGGCGCTCGCCCGTATCCTCCAGACTGCCAAAGAACTGCTGGAACTGGCCAAAGTCCAGCTCCGAGGCAGAGCCCCGTTGCGGATGGGCTGGCTGGCTCATGGCCAGCTCTCGCAGCTCCTCGCTGGAGGACTGCAGCGGCGTGGCCTTGGTGGTGGTGCTCTGGGGCTTCTGGTAGACGGGCAGATCCAGCTTGAGCTCCGGTTCGGTGTCCAGTAGAGCCTGCTCCTTGGCCGGCTGGGCATAGACTATGTGTGCCCCATTGAGGCTCTTTACATTCGGACTCCGCACCGAGGCGGCGGTGACCAGTTGGGAGTGTGATTGCGTCTGTGGGTGGGTCAGCTGGACTCTCTCCAGCTCCTGCACCTTGCTAAGCAGCTTCTGCAGCTGCACATAGTCCTGCGGCTGCACTTCGTCCGGATGGAGGCCGTTGCTTCTCTCAAAGCTGCTCAAGGGTCTCTGCTTGGAGGTGGAGGCCGCCGTGGATATCTCCACAGCTCCTAGGCTGTAGCCTGGCGTCTGTGTGGGCGACAGCTGTTGGAGATGGGCAAAGTCATTGCTGGGCAGGCTTAGGGTCTGTCCCGGCCTGGCCACATTGCGGCTAAGGAAGTTGGGCGGCGTGGTGGGCTGCTGCAGCTGCTCCAGCTGCTGGACGCGGGTTATTAGAGCCTCAAACTGGGCGTGATCCACTGAAGGAGTGGGCCTGGGCGTGGTGGTGGTGGTGCTAGTACTGGAACTTGTCGTACTCGTCGTCGTGGTGGTTGTCTTGGCCGGCTGCTGCTGCTTCTTCTTGCTGTTTCTGGCCTGCTCATACAGCTTCTCCAGCTCCCGATCATCGCTGAGTAGTCGCTGCAGCTGAAGAAGATCGGCGGGGCCCAAGCCGCTGCCAGGACCAAAGCCCAATCCCAAGGCTGCACCTAGACCAGAATTCCTTGTTGGCTTAACCGTGGTGCTTGTTGAGGTGGTGCTCCTGGACTGCTCCAGTTGCTGCAGCTGCTTCAGGATAAGCTGCAGCTCACGGGCCTCGCTCTGGGCGGGCGAGGGCGTCGTGGTCGTACTCGTGCTGGTGCTGGTGGAGAACCTGCTGGCCAGGGTCTGGGCACTGGGACTGGCTGCCTTGATCACATTCTCCGGATTGATTTTGAGCTTCTCCAGCTCCTGGAGGTTCTGCAGCAGCTTGGACAGCTCGTCGGTGCTGGTGGCCGTGGCCTGCTGGTTGCCAGCATTGGCAAAGTTCAGGTCTATGTTGGGATCGATCCGGCGGCGTGGCTTCTTGGCCTCGATGAGCAGCGGCTCGCCGTGGGTGATCAGTTGAGCTGGAGCAGGCGTAGTCGTGGTGGTGGTGGTGGTAGTGGTGGTACTTGTACTCGTAGTGGTGGTGCTCCTGGCCTTCTGTTTCGGTTGTGATTGCAGCCTTTCCAGCTCCTGGAGGTTCTCCAGCAGCTTGGCCAGCTCAGCGTTACCCTGTGGCGGCAGCCTGGCCGTTGCCGTGGACAGCTCCGTGTGGGCACCCGTGGGCTCCTCCGTGGGCTTGAGTGGCTCTTTCTTTAGAGCCTTGGGCGCCTTCTTCACTATCCCAAAGCGCGTCAGGTAACCCTCCACTTCGGGCTTCACGCGCAGCTCCTCGCCTATGTTCAGAGGCTTGAAGTTGGAGTACGCCTCCGGCCGGATGCGAGCTCCCTGGAGCCCACGCAGATCGGCCACCGCCACCACCGACGGCTGCGGTGCACTCTCCGCCGGATAGTAGTCGTCCAGGGCATAGCGCTTGTGGGCCGAGTCGCTTTTCCCACCGGAGACAATGCCCAGGCTCTCCAGAATGTCCGCCACGGGCTTCACCGTCACCGTGGTGGCGCTCGAGGGTTTGGGCTTCCTCAGGAACTGCGCATTCTTGGCGCTGTAATGGGAGCTAAAGCGAGCGGCCGGCGGAGGAGCAGCCGGAGCGGGTGCCGCCGAGGCCGCTGTCACAGGCTTGAAGTCCTGATAAACCACCGGCGGTGGCGCTGGCGGATGGTAGGTGGTGGCCAGCGGCATGGGCCTAAACTGCTGCTGCTGGAGGGGATTAGCCAGGTTCAGGCTGTAGGCCGGCTTGTATGTGGTGGCCGCCACCGCGGGATTGCCACCGGGCACTGTGCTCCGCGGCAGAGCGTTGGGATCTGGCGTTAGGAACTTGACGGGATCGGGCGGCGTGTAGGCATCGATGACCCGCGTCACTGGGGGACGGGTGTACAGCTCCTGGAGATTCTCCTCCGTGTTGTTGTCCGTGTTGAAGGGCAGGACAAGCATTAGGGCGCGCATGCTGTCCGCCCGGCTCATGTCGCCCGCCTCTAGGCTCTTCTCGTACTCCTCGCGGGTGACCTTCTCGTACAGCTCCTCGATCTCGCCGCTGGAGAGGATGGACAATGGGTCAGTAGGGGAAGGAGCAGCACTCTAAAGGCTGTACTCACCGCGTTAGTCTGGGCAGCGCCGGATCGTTGGCCAGTATCTTTTGCACCTCATCGATTGTCTGCTCAATCTCGGGCGGCTGAAAGAAGCTCTTGTCCAGCTGCTGGCGTGCATTTCCGCCCTGAATGGTGGGCACTGCCCGCGCTATGCCCCCCAGCTGGAGGAGGGCGATTAGCGCCAGGCACTCACGTAGCATCCTTGGTTACCAGATGAAGGTCTGTGGGTTAGAAGTTGAAAAATAAGTAAGTTTAAAGTTAAGTTAAAATTAGGCTAACTTTAATTTTAGGCATTACTTTCTCAATATCCAGTTAGGGCTAATCTTCGCTTTAAACTCAATCACAGTTAACCAGAGCTTAACTCCTGGTTAAAATTATTTTTGAATAAATAAAGAAATAATAGAAAATAGCTACCACTGGGCAGATTAGAGAGGAATCTGTGGGTAATAAGTAGAAAAATCACAGTTAACCAGAGCTTAACTCGCGGTTAAATTGTTTTTTAAATATTACCATGAAATAGTAGAAAATTCACATGGGCAGATTAGAGAGAAATCTGTAGGTAATAAGTAGAACAAGAAGTACGTTTTTTTAACTTAGTTAAACTATAATTTTAGGCATCACTTTCTCAATCTCCAGTTAGGGCTAACCTTCACTTTAAACTCAATCACAATAAATCACAGATTAACTTGATTGAAGTAATTTGTAAGTATTAAAACAAATAATAATAGAAAATAGCTATGGTAGAAAAATCACAGTTAACCAGAGCTTAACTCCCGGTTAAATTTATTTTTGAATATTAGAGAATAGCTAACGCTGGGCAGGTTAGAGAGGCATTTAAACCAACTCCCAGACCTCGAGGGCCCCCTCCTAGAGCCCCCATGTGACACCTTTCGTTTTCATTTTCCACATGGTTTTCGCTTTCGTTTTCTCCCCGCAAATAAATGACCCACCGACCCAGCGACCATTGAGGCGTATTAACCACTCATTAACCACTAACCACTTCCAGTTCGGCGGCTGTTAATAAACGCGTTGTGGATTTCCCCACAAAAACTCCAGATCCCGGCGGAGTGAGAGACACGGGTTTCCGTCCAGGAAGGGGGAAATGGAAAAAAATTAATAACTGACTGAAGCCGAGAAAGAAATCAAATGAAATGCATGACAAATTTTTCATCAACAAGAAATAGACAAATAAAAAAAAAAGAAACACAAAAGACTGAAGACAGCGAAAAATGGGACAAATAAGTGGACAAGTGTTCGAGTCCATTTGAGACGTAACTTGAAATCAGAAAGCACTTGGCCCGAAGAGCCACGAAGACCAAAGTGTCAGGTGAGCGAAAGAGGTGGAAATTACCATCATTTCTGAGGATATTCGGGGATTGCGCAACCGGAGGAGGAGGCCCAGGATGGTGGCCATATGTGATGCAATGGAAATTAAAACAAAAAAAACCCCCATGGAAATGGAAAATGGAAAATGGTAGTGGTAATGGGGGGATAATTAAAATGGAGCCTGCGGCGAAGATCTTGTACAATTTATAACAGCTTAGCTGGAGGAGGAGCTGCTGGCCAGCGGAGTACGCCATCTATCGAGCCCATCGAAGCGTTTAATTTTCACTTAATTGCCGTAGTTAAATCATAAATTTAATGAGTGACGGACGGAGTGCTGTAGAAAGCGATGACGCGGTTGCCGTTAGCGAAATGAACTGTTAGATAATCTGGTCGAAACGTGGAGAGAGACAAGCTAGTTATGGCCAAGCTATGCCACTCCAGGTGAACTAAGCTCCGAGGCGACTACGTGCCGGGCATTCTAAACGAGATCAGCGTCCATCGGGGCTAACTGCAGTCTGGATTGGCCTGCAAATGGGCTTGGAATGGCAGCGGGACACGGAATGCCGCCACTGGAATGCTGTCGCTTGTTGTTGAGATCGCTCTGTGCACTCGAGTGACATTAATGGGGGGCAATGATACTTCCACATTAACACTTGACAAGTCTCAGAAGTGGAAATCACACAGAGGAGTGCTTATATGGCAGGCTGAGAATCTAAAATATGTGAGCTCTCAGCCCTATACTTCTTTGGTAAATCTCTATTTTAGGACCCCAATTAGCCACATACCAAGTTCTATGACTGTATCTTAAGTTGAACTCAAGTTACATCAGGCTTGTCAGCTTGGCAACCAAGTCCTGGGAGCCACTTAGATCTCAGACTTTGACTTCTTGGTTAGATGTGTTTGGTAAAATGCCAGATAATTGTATATTTACCCACTTTTATCACTAAAACTAAAGCAGAACTTGAGTTCTCTATAGATCTACGTCAACCTGGCATGCCTAGAAACTGAATTCTATAAGTTATTCAAAGCTTTTGTTATTGGCTATTCGGTTATACCTCTATTTTTATACCCTTGCAGGGTATTATAATATAAATCAGAAGTTAGTAACACTGGGAAGCAGTTATTTTTCACCCTATAAATCATATATATTCTTGATCAGCATTAAAAAACAAACTTTACCCACTTTTCAAAGTTTGATAAGGGGTTATATCGTAAAAAATTATATAATTTAAGTAATGAAAAATATTAAAACTTGAACAAGAACAGTTTCAAGAATTTTTTATTACTTAAATTAAATTATATTTGGTAACTACTTCAAGTCTTTGATAGCTTAGAACCCAAATGCTGATAGCATTATCTAAGTTAACCTTTGATATCTCAATTAAATCTCTACTTTAAGATCCCTATTAAACACATACCAACTTTCATGGCTGTAACTAAGGTAGAACTCGAGTTACTTGGGTTATAATTTCGGCTGTTGACATTTAACTAACTCTGGCATGCCAGACCCGCTCCACACGTCGCATACGCAATGCCGCTTTGCATATACAGCCATTAAGCCTAAAAAGTGGGGGACAACAGTGCATTTAAATTTCATAATCCCCCCCTCTATATGGAGGAGGAGCTGCGTGTAATCAAAAGGCAAATAATTTGTTGCCATTGCGGCAGCACAGACCCACGAAATGTGAGTCAATCTTGGGCGAGTGCATTTCCAATCCAGCAGAAAGAGCCGGTGGCACGATAACAAGCCCAAGACGATGACGATGGCGATGACGACGACGACGTCACTGAAGCGCATTAAACGCAGAGCACTAGTAACCACAACTGCGGAGCAGCAGTACCCACTCCCCGCCGAGTGTGTGGTAACAATTAAGGCTGTGTTAAGTAATTCCCAGCGATTATTAACGTTATTAGCCGCTCAATGGCTGGGTCTGTGCCTGTGCCTGTGCCTGGGATATCGTCCACCTATTGATTGCTCTGGTTTGGTTTTCATAATTCACCATTTTCCCAGCTTCACTTGCCTCTCAATCTCTCAGCTTTCCTGGCTTTTCATTTTGCAAAAACATTAAAGGCGGAAGCCGGCCAGAAGTCGGAGCTAAAGGCCGTGATCCATAGTCCGGGGTGGAATGGAAATGGAAGATGTAGAAAATGTTGAATAATAATTCAACTTCTGGCAAGTCTAATTAAAGTCCAAAATGGGAACTTAAACTCTAAAAAAAAGGTATATAAATAATTAAAATAATAAATTATAATATTAAAATAAAACAAGAAAGGAAGCTAACTTCGGCACGCCGAAGTTTGTATACCCTTGCAGATATTATTTCAATGCATTTTACCTATACTTATTATGTTGAGAGTTTGACAGTTACAGTTTTACATTCCCAGTTTTACATTTTCCCTACACCTACCGATCGGTTTATATGGCAGCTATATGATATAGTTGTCCGATTTTCATAAAATTTATACCAAAATTCTGAACTAATAAAATAAGCTTATATCCCAGAGTAGAAAAAAATAGTTTGAAAAACAACGAAGTTATAATTTTTTTCTATTAATTTCCTGATCGTTCCTATGGCAGCTATATGATATACTCGTCCGATTTTCATAAAATTTTTACCAAAATTCAGAAATAATATAAAATGGTCATATGTCAAAAATAGTGCACATATGTTGAAAAACAGCCAAGTTATAATTTTTTTTCTAAAAATTTATCGAACATTTGTATGGCAGCTATATGATATAGTCGTCCGATCCGGCCCGTTCCGACATATATAGCAGTGAGAGCATATAGAAGACTATATGCAAAGTTTCATTCAGATAGCTTTAAAACTGAGGGACTAGTTTGCGTAGAAACAGACAGACGGACAGACAGACAGACAGACAGACAGACAGACGGACAGACGGACAGACGGACAGACGGACATGGCTAGATCGACTCGGCTGTTGATGCTGATCAAGAATATATATACTTTATAGGGTCGGAAACGTCTCCTTCACTGCGTTGCAAACTTCTGACTGAAATTATAATACCCTGCAAGGGTATAAATATACAAATAATTTAATATGTATTCTATGTATAAGTCTATGAATAATTCAGGTTCTTCTAAAGCTTTTCGACTTATACCAGGAAATAAAACGTTCTTAAAATCATTCGATAATAAAATTATAACCCAAGTAACTAGAGTTCTACCTTAGTTACACCCTCCAAAGTTGGTATGTTTTTCAAAAGGATCTTAAAATAGAAATTTAATCGAAGTGTCAAGGGCTAACATAGAAAATGCTTTCAAAATGTACTTTCAAAGCTAACAAGCCTGACGTAACTTTAGTTCTGCTTTAGTAATCCTCTTAAAATTTGGTATGAGATTAGATAAGATGTTAAAATAGAGATATAACCCAAAAGCCGAAGGCTAAGGTTGAAATAACTTTTAGAACTCGGTTTCTAGGCTTGCCAGACTGACGTAACTTAAGTTCAGCTTTATTTAAAGTGATGAAAGTTGGTATACAATTGTGTAAGATCATTAAAAACATATTTATCCAGAAAGTAAAGATCTGAGATTAAAATAGCTCAAAAAACTGGGTTCCTAAGCTAACAAGCTCAGGCTGTTATTCAGTTTTTATAATGAAATTTGGTCTGGAAAGAGATGGCATCCCAAGACAAATATCTACCCGAAAAGTCAATGGTTAAAATTGAAATAGTTTATAATATTAATAAATATCAATAAATATTTATAATTTTAATACAATAATAATAACAATACAATAGTAATAATAATAATAATTAAATAAACAATTCCTCAACTAAACCTTGTTAAACCCTAACTTTAAGACCCAAGGCAACGTGAAAGGAAAATCTGCTAAATTAAAAGCTAAATTGTCACAGAAACCCCTTAAATATACATATGCGTGAGAAAAATCCCTTAAGATCAGTGTCCAGACCCTTGACTCGAATGACTTTAACCCTGAAATTGTACAGCAATCATGCGGCAATTTACAGTAACCATCGCAAATCGCAAACAAAAACAATAACAAAGAGCAGAAGCACAGAAAACAAAGGCAAACAAAAGACAATTGTCTTTCATTAGTTTTTTTTTTTCATTTAGTTTTGGCTTAATCAAGAGCAGCCAGCGAGCAGCACTTAGCCTCGCCCGGAGCAGGGTCAGCTTGATTAACTGGCCATTAATCTGGGTGGAGTCGACGAGGGCAACTCACTAAATGGGAGAAGGTGTGGATGGATAAGTAGATGGATGAATGGATGGTTGGATGGAGGGAGATGGTTTCTTGGAAGCCAAGATAACCAAGAAAGAAACTGTGTCAACACAGAGATCAAGCATGGAGTGAGAGAGCTGTTCTAAATAGGAGAAGGAACCAATCCTAGACTAGGTCATCCCCTGCTGTCTCTCCCTCTCTCTCTCTCTCTCTGAAGGTCACCTGGCCAGACAACCTGTCATAGCCAGCATTGGCATTTCCGGCTTTTTGAGAAAGCGCCTGGGAGCGCTGCTCTCACTCCCAACTCGGCCGATTAGTCAGGCCCAAAATGAGACGATGCTCGGCACCTCATCTTCAGGCTGATCGCCAGCCCCAACTGGCACTCCATCTTCATCTTCATCATCTTCGTCATCATCATCATCAGCAGCACTTTTACTCGCAACTCGTTCCTTGTTTTTTTTCCTTGGCCAGTTGGACGAGTGGCCAGAGCTCCTGGAGCTGGTCCACTGGTGGATTCTATGCGAGCCAAACCGCATATGACAAGTGAATGTTGTTTTGGGCGGCCAGGAAAAAGCCAGTAACTGGCAGCAGCTACCAAAAGAGACCCAAAACTGAGCCAAGTCGGGCGAGCAACTTGGCCAACTGGCTTTGGCTTTGGCTTTGGCTTGGACTTTGGGTTTGGTTTTCGGTTTTGGTTTCGATTTTGGTTTGGAATATTTCGAATTTGGTTTTGTTTGACTTGCTTATTGGCACTTTTACCCAGCCGATTGATTTTTCTTGCCTTGGCAGATGCTTAATTATTGTTTTTTTTATTATTATTCGTCTTCGTTTTTGTTTGTCAAGTGGTTTGACTTGGCTTGGCGCTGTTTCCCTTTTAGTTTGTTTTTTTTATGGACACTTTCACCGACAGCCACAACAGCGGCAATAATAATAAATATTAAAACACTTTACATGCTTGCCTTTGCTTAATTTTTTTAAATAGCTTTTTGCTTCTTCCTCCTTCTTTTTTTGTTATATTTTGAATTATTTTTTGACTCGCTGACAGTCATAATTGTGAAAAGTGTCGCTGGAATTATGTTGTTTTCGTTATTATTTCACTCTGCTCTGGTTTTCGTCTGGGTAATATTCACCAGGTAACTCCATTAGCCTCACTTCCTTGGGCCTGTCGTCTTTGCTTTTGATGGTTTTTAAAGTGAATAAACATTATTCACTATTATTTACGTAACAATTTGGAGCATGGTTTAGTTTTGTAGAGACATTAAAATGTAGATATTTTTTAATACATTTTCAAGTAGGAATGTTATGGAAATTTAAAAAAAAGTAAAGTAGGAATGTTAAGAAAATTCTATAAATTAATTAAATTAAATTTATTACAATATTTTAAAATAAATTTTAAAGAACTAAGAATGTTAAGGAAATTTTATAAATAAAGTTGAATTAATTTAAATATTTTTAAATATAAGAAGAATATTTAACGTAGTAAGAATGTCAAGGAAATTATATAAATTTATATATATTATAAACATTTCTGGTATATTATATAAATATTATATAGATTTTCCGGACAAACACAACTCTCTCTACCTTGATTTTAATCCCCCAAAAAAAATCTATGAAAAAGATAACTCTCCTTTCTGTCTTTTTGGGACTTTCCCCCTCTTTCTAGTCACTCCTTTGGTTCATTATCTCTCTCTCCTGGTCATTATCTCAATGCCATTTCCCACTTTTCCATTGTCCCCCTGTGTCAAGGTCGTTTGATCAGAGCCACCAATCACGATTCACCCGCTCTGCCAGCTCCTTTTTGGCTTTACCTAGACTTCGAGTTCGTTGCCTAAGTCTTTTGTTTTTTTTCTCTATTTTTATTTTTATTCAATTTTGTTTCTTTTTTTTTTTTGCCAATCTCCTCAGCAACCTGTCGCGGTTTTAGTGTCCAACAAAATTTCCAATTACATTTTCAATTTTCGGCGCTGCTCCTCGTTCGCTCCTCACTGTTAAATCCAAATTCAAATCGAATCAAGGCGCTTTTTCACAACTCTCTCAGCGGCACACACACCGCACACACTCACTGTACACACACAGTAAAAAAATAAAACGTTAAACGAAATTCAAAATTAAATCGAGGCAAAACGCGAACACGCGACTGGGTCCGGGCCTCGTTGGCTTCTGTGGCGGCAACGGAATGGGTTTCGGAATGGAATTGGATTCGTTTTCGGGCTCGGGCTCGCTCTCAAACTCGGACTCGTGCTCGTGCTCGTGTTGCGCGGCCTGCAGACCATTTTCGACGAGCGTTGGCAGCGTACTGAGACCGGGCTCCAGCCCGTGCCAGAGTTGGAGCCATGGCAGTGGCTGCAACTGAAATTGGAGCTGTGACGGAGACGGAGACGGAGACGGAGACTGAGGCCTCGCTTAGAAGTTCGATTTGTTGACTATTAAAACTAACATTGTTTGGGGCCACTAAACCCATTCAAAGTGCATTGCATCAGCCGAGTCATTTGTTGTTTATTCTCGAGCAAATGCTTGGCAGGTCCCTAGCCTAGATTCAGAGCTATTAACATGGCATAAACAATTGGATGAATATCATCTAGAAAATCACTTAAAATATGTGTAATTGATTCAAGAAAAATGATCATTTCATTACACTTGCTTACAGCCATCATTTAAGTTTAAGAATAAATGTATCTGTGAGATTTTTATTTTACATTCAGTTTGCTTCAAATTGGTATCTCTCAGAAACAATTTACACTTGTTAATATTCTACGAAAAAAAAACGTTCCAAATTGTATTAATTTGACTTTGAATTACATACTTCGCAAAGAAATTTTCCTTAAATTTTTAAAATATTATATTAATTTATAATTAATTTATCCGGCATTGTGAGGGGTATTAAGAGGGAGGTCTCCTTGGTGTATGCTTCAGGTTGCAGAGGAGCAATCAATAAGGCCCAATCAACAGTCCATCAAGGGGATAATCTCCGCATAAATCTGAAAATTTCGAAGCTCTTCCTTATGCCGGAAAATTTATTTCTGAGGTGTCAAGTCTGACATGAAAAGCGATGCTTGCATGTGTAGTAGTAGGCTTAATATCCACAGTCATAAAAATATTGGTATATTTTTCATAAAAACCTTGACAAATTCGACTTGAAAATCTCAAAGCGAAAAGGAAAAAATTGTACAAAATATAATCTCTTCAACAAAAATTATTTTTTTTAATATTTTTTTGGGGCAATTTTAGACAACAATTTGTATATGTGCATTTATAGATACTACTGTCGTTACTTATTATTTAGGTTGTATATAATTTTTCATTTTTTATTCGCGAGAAGCTATGCTACTTTCCTGAGTTCAGCAAAAAAATAAGTAAGAAAGTGCTACGAAAAGGGAAAATAAAATTGAAAGAGACTGAAAACAGACTGAATATCTGGTCAAAGGCCCAAGTGTTTCTTGGCATGAAGCGAGGGCTTTGTTTTCTATACGATTGGATTGGATTCGATTGGATTTATGGCTGGGCATGCAAATGACCCTTAAAGAAATCGAAAGTAGGCGAAGGTTACAGCTTATAGCTGGAAAAATGGTTTCCTATTTTATAAGTTGTAAAAGAAGAGTAACCAGTAACTTTAAATTAAATATAAATAACCATTAAGTAATTCTAAACAATATTTAATCGTAGAAATTGTGAGGCTTAAGGAAATCTTTGGCATCAGCTAAATGAAGTTGACATAATCCATCCAGTAATCACTGAACATTATTAACCCATTGCCTTAATTCTTGGACCTCCAATTAAATAGCCATCAGTGGGATTCGCTTTGCATATCAACACCAGAAGCCACCAGTTAGTGCCAGCTCTGGGAGGGATGTCTGGCAAACCGCCGGAGGCGTGACATGTCACCGCTGCTCTAAGCGGAGCGCTACCTCGCTCGCCAGCTCGCCTTGACCAAGTACCCTGCGAACTGAGCTCTCGCGGGGATCGCTGCTCTGACGGGGGAAGGTGAACAGCATTCTGCAGACTGGTTTCACGCGACGCGGCATTTCACTTTGCCCAGCCACTAGCCAGCCAGCGGAGCCGCTTCTTCAGCGTCTTTCCCCGAAATTGACAAATTCAATCGGTTTTCTCTGTCACTTTCTGCTCTGCTTTGAAGTGGAGATGGCGGAGTCCATTGAGTCGCTCTTTGCGCCCAGGGAGGCCACCACCGGAGATTGATTCGGTTTTGGATTACATTATGGTCGCTGCCCGATTGCATAATAAAGCGCACGCATCGAGATCCAATCTCTGAACGTCGATGGCAATGCACTCTCCTCGCCAGTCACTTCTCGTATGATGATTATTTTGTGATGCCATGCCAGGGGGGTCTCAGATGGAAAAGGGAGAGGTTTCTTGGCGGAAGATCTAAAAGTGGGTAATAGTTTTGACGAGGAGGAAGATCGAACTGCCGGAGAAACACTCTTAGAAAAGCAGTTTCGAGAAACCCTCTTGGAAAGATTTCCTGGCAGAGAAACCCTTTTAGAGAAACCCTCTTAACGAAACCCTCTCAGAGAAACCCTCTCAGAGAAACCCTCTCAGAGAAACCCTCTTAAAGAAACCCTCTTGGAGCAACCGTCTTGGATAACCCTATCTCCCAGAAAATCCATCAAAAGCTTGCACTCGAAGCACGTCTTTGCTGGAAATAATTAAAACGATGTTCGGTTATTTGTAACGTTTGTCATTTGCACACATGAAGATCTCTGTGTGTTTGCCCCTTTTTTCCAAAGCGAGCCAGAAGGGGAGAAGAGTAGCAGTTGCAGAGGAGCCAAGTCGGAGGGGGGGAGGAGGAGGAGCATTTGTGTGTGACAACATTTGACACAATTTAACGCTGACAAGACAAATTCGTCTGCGGTCTTGTGCACATCACTCAAGTTAAGTCGTTTCTGGGGAGGGGCTGGGGATCTCCGCTTTGGCTAAAAGCAGGAGGAGGAGGATGGGGGGCCGAGACCTGAGACCTGAGACCTTCCCAAGTGCTTTACATTTGGTGCGCTTGCGCTTGCGCTTTGACTTTGCCTTTTGCACACACTCGAAATTGCAACACGGAACACACAACAAAGCCAAAGCTGAAACCGAAACATACATAATTTCAACGAAAACTAAGAAAACAAAAAAACAAAACGGAAAACTTAAAAAACTAAAACTGAAAAATGACAAAAACCCCATAAACTCTCGACATGACACGGCCAAAAAGCTATGTGGACTTGGAATGGAACTTTGGAGCATCGCACAAAATGTGAATTGCTTTTATGCCGCGCCATAGATGTGCAAAATTAAGCTAGCCAAAGGCCAGAGTCGCACTTTTAATACCTTGTTTTTAAGAAATAAGAATTTCAGCTTGATAAAGCCAACAAAACGCGAGTTCTCTGAGATTCTGGACCCCTTAGAGATGGCCGGTAAGAAGTTACAACCCAGAAACCCCTATAGAATGTAAAATTAAGCTAACATAACAAATTTAAGTTTGATATATCCACAGGAAGTCGAGTTCCCTGGGACTCTCCGGATACCCTGTATAGAGTAATCACTTTGGATCCCAAGTAGAATAAATGCCAAGCTTGCATACCAAATTTCTGCATGATATACCCAAAGGAAGCCGAGTTCCCTGAAACTCTAAGCCCGTTCCAGATACCCTGTAAAGAGTAATCACCTCGGAACCCCAATAAACAGCAAAAATAATCAATCTTAAGGTCCCATACCAAATTCCTGCATGATATACCCCAAGGAAGCCGAGTTCTCTGGGTCTGTACATCCGATTCCAGGTGCCTGGACGCCAGCTTCGGTGGTGATAAGGCGTTGGCTGCGCCACTTGTCTCGTCTGCGTTAACGCCTCTCGTTTCTCCACTCTCTTCTCTCCGCCGCTGCTTTTACTTTATTCGGCCATTCACTTTCTCCGCGCGTTGTTTGCTTTGCTAATTTTGGATTTACCTTCGTCACAGCAAAAACAACAACAACAGTAGCAGCAACTATATAGTATAGCGATTGGGAGAGAGAAAAGTAAAATAGACAAACAAGCTAAACAAAACGAAGGCAAAACTGCTTCTGTTATGGCCAAAAGAGATGTTGCTTGGGCCTGGTCAATACAATGCGAAATTCGCATGCAAAATTCCGAGAAATTATTCAATCGCGTGGCCAAGATTATCCAATTCCATCCAATCCAAATCGAGTTTATTTCCGAGTGCGGCATATGCATATGCAGGCAGTGTCGATCCGAAACCGATCAGGCTGCCAATTGCACCAGCCAGCCTCCATCTCCATCAGTTTAATGCCAGAATTAAAGTCACCTGCTCCCCCAGAAATATTACCAATCCAGTATTTTGTTGGCTACAAAATTTAATTTTATTTTAATTTTATTTTAATTTTATTATTTTTTAATTTAATTAATTTCAAATATTTAAAAACGGCGTTTCTCTTCCTTAAAATCTTCTAAAAATAAATACAACTAATTCATGACTGCTTCGTTATTAAAAAAAAAATAAAACCAAAATAAAACAAAAATAAAAAATTAAAAGAAAATAAATAAATTTAAAACAAAAATAAAAATTAAAAAGAAACTAAATAAACGTAAAACAAAAATAAAATATAAAATAAATTAATTAAAAAGCTAAAAATAAAAAAAATACATTTAAATTAAAAAAAAAAAATTAAAAATAAAACACAAAAAATAAAAAGAAAATAAATAAATTTTAACAATATTATCAGGCGTGCTCTGGTATTCACTCTTTCGTTTTGAAAAGGCAGCATTTGTTTATTTAAATTTATTTATTTTCTTTTTAATATAATATTTAAAATATTAATAATAATAATAATATTTAATATTTAATATTTAAATATATATATTTACCAACCTTAAAACCAAAACAAAAAGCTATGTACACACATAAAATTGATGAAATACTTTGTATACTTGAAATGGCAAATATGTATTTGTAATAATAATTGCGCTGCAGCCTGGAGTTCCACGAGTACCCAGTAGCCACCACCACCACCACCACGCCCATCCAAGTGATAATGTACGTGGCCACACAGGCCAATGACTCGTATGCGGGCGATGTCTGGGAGGTGGCCAGCATAGCCAGGCAGATCTTTAGCTCTGCCGGTCCCAGTGGCCCCAATCGCGAGTATCTATTTAATTTGGCCACCGCCATGGCTGAGCTATTCCCCGGGGCAGTTGATGAACATCTCGAAGAGCTGGTGGTAAACGTAAGGCGTCACATAGCCGAGGATGAGCCCCATCTTCTAAGGCAGGCTGTGCTGGAGGAGATTGCAAGTATTCTGCGGGAGAAGGAGCTGCAGGAGCAGGCTCAGGCCCAGAAGCTGGAGGAGCTGCTGATGCGTTGCCAGCAGCCAGGTGGCCGCGAGTGGCTGCTCCATGGTGCCCTGCAGCAGAGGAGGAGCGAGACGTGACCGCCAAGAGAGTGCTGTACCTTTTCATATTGTAAAATAACTCCTGGACCAAGGACGACCAGTGGAGGCATCTGTTCTCCCTCAATATTTCCCTATTTATAAATAGAAACATTTATTTCTTTTAGAAATTCATTAAATTAAAATACTTATTTATTTTTTTTAAGTACTCCATCGAACTATTATTGATATTTTAATTTATATCTAAACAAACAAAAACACACACACACAGGTTGTACATATTTTTCAGTGACCAAAGAAGCGGTAGAAAAACCGGATACCCTGTGGCGAGTCGTTGGCTATGCGGGCAATCTTCAGAAAGCGCTTCATGTCACCGAAGAAGTCCTTGACGCCGTCAAAGAACACCCGGTACAGCTGCATGGCCTTGGGGAAGTTCTTGTCATAGTTTTTGGCGTAGTTAAAGTAGCGGGTGAAAATGTAGTCCTGCATGTTGTCCCGCATCTGTTCCCGCTTCGATTTGATCGTGTCCGGCTCCTTTTACTGCTGGCTGATATGCTCGGTCTTTGGCTTCTCGATGGGCGTGCTGGCATCCCAGCCCGTCTCATAAATGGCCTTGCCACGCTGGCTATCTCGGCGGCTACATTTCGCTTGAAATGCTCTCCGCAGGTTATCGCTGTAGAGTGGTAATTGAATTTTAATGCCGATTGCTAATTAGGACGCCGGAACGCTTACCTGGCAGACGCGGCTCCGAGCGACGCCGATGCAGGAGCTCGCCCACAACAACTTTAATTAAAGGATTACAAAATTTCACATGCAATACGGGACCAGTGCGCCCATTTGCGAAACTGTTTTTTATAGCCGAGATTTGAATAAAGGATATTTTCTAAGTAGATCGATCAATTGATTAAGCAGATAATTAAGCCAATAAACGGCAGAAAAGGCATTAGCGGTCTTGAATCCGGCGGCAGAGTGGCAGCGCTGCCGGATTTCAGATCCAGTTTTAACGGCCCAAGCTCATGTGTTCTGGAAAGGCAATTTATTAGAGGATGCTGCTGATAAACTGGAGATACTCACTCTCCTGGGCCTCAGCGACTATCAGCCCGATGAGGCGAATGACGAAGGTCGGCTCGCAGGACCCGGCCTCCCGACACGCCTTTGAAATTGCCCCCTTCCAGCCGCGGCCGAGGTTCTCCAGCTTCACGGTGTTTGCCTCCGAGAAGTCGCGAGTGCCGTGTGCCCTCATCCTCTGCAGCGCTTTCATATATTCCAGCATTATTTCGCGGTAGAAGTTCCTTGCTGCTTGAGGGACCCGCTCCAGGTACCGCTCTACGTCTGGGCTGGGGTTCGTTTTTAAATCTTGCAAAAACCCTTTTAGGACGGTTTCTGTCACCGAAAATTTTCGGGAGACTGTGACTACAAGGTGGTCGTAGTCGGGAATCATTGGGAGCGTCAGGATCTTTTTACACTGCGTGTTTAAGATATACTGATCGCTCACCACCGCCATTATATTGTCGTACACTTTGAGGCACTTTCCGGCGTGAAGGAGGTTCCTCAGGTCGAGGGCCACCTCAGTCGCGCCGAGCCTCCTTTGTTTGTGGGACAGCCGCACCGAGAGCACCCGGCTCAGGCCGCCGTCCACGCTCGTCCCTATCATCGTTAGGAATTTGAATCTATATTCTCCGACCGTAACATGCAGGTCGTCGAATATGATATAGAACGGCGTCCTTTTGAACCTGTCTAGGTTGCTGTACAGCGTCAGGTATTCCCTGTCCAGCTGCTCGGCCTTGTCTGGCATTTTCAGTTTGTTCAACACGTAATTTTGGTCCATGAGACTGTGGAAAACGGTGGTTTTCCGTATTTTGGATTCCCAATCAGATTGCTAAAGAAAAAAATTAAAATTAATTAATTAATTAGTAGTTTGAGCCGGCTCGAGGTCAACGACCCTGAGTCGGCTTAAAAACTCCTAACGCCTCTCATTACGGATTTCACCAGTTGCAGCAACGGTCACACTTGTCACTTGAAAAGTAACTGTAAAAAGTTAACTGCAAGAAGAGTCCTGGGAAAAATATGCAAAAATGTCCGCATTCGACCAATTAACGATTGAACCCGGAAAAATTCTAGTGCTCCAATTTCCGGGGCAACTTGACGGAGCTGGCCGCGTTGGCTGCCATTTACAGCGGCGAAAAGAGGAAAGCCCCGATGCCAGAGGAAGGCCAGGAGCCGAAAAAGACGCTGGGCAGGGCGAAGTTGCAGGAGGAAAAGAAGGTGCTCCACGACAACTCGCAGGATAGAGCGATAGAGCCGCACATTGCCGATTGTCCGGCGAGTGACCAGTGGTTGGCGGACAACTCGCTGGAACACAACAATTCCGATCGTCCGGCCAGTGACCAGTGGTTGGCGGACAACTCGCTGGAACACAACAATTCCGATCGTCCGGCCAGTGACCAGTGGTTGGCGGACAACTCGCTGGAGCACAACAACAATTTTTCTCGGAACTATAGCGCAGCGATAGAGCCGCACATTGCCGATCGTCCGGCCAGTGACCAGTGGTTGGCGGAGAGAGAAGCGGAGAAGCTAGTGTTGGAGCCCGGAGCCTTCATTTACCGCCACCTGCTTGGTCCACTTCAATGCCAGATATGCTTTAGGAGCAAACAGCGACACCATGATAAAATCTGCCAGGGCGAGCACGTCTGCGACTTCTGCCCGGTGAAGGCAGATTCCAATGAGGAGTTGCGCCGCCACAGGTGCAAGAGGCTGTTCTGCCAACCAATCGATTGGCTTCGGGACAATTCCCACACGGGCTTGAACGGTCGAACCATCGACTTTAAGGTCACTGTTAAAAATAACGTCAAAAAGTGGGAGCGGATACAACTGTCTCCAGGCGATCTAGAAGACATTGTGTTACCCCCTGTGGAGGACTACAGGCTTTCCTGCTTGTTGGTGAACCCTGACTTATTTAATAGTTTAATTATTTAATTTTTAATTTTAATAATTTAATCATTTAATTTTTTAATTTCAAAATTTTAATAATTTTTTAACGCAATACTTTAATTTCATAATTTTAAAATTTTTTTAAAACCATATTTTAATCTGTTAAATAAATTGTAAAATTGTTCACTAGAGCTACTCATGTCTACCGATCGTTCCTATGGCAGCTGTAAGATATAGGCGGCCGATCCGGCCCGTTCCGACATAATTTTGAAAGAACACTTACATGCACATCCTCGTCGCCAATGTCTCCTGGTACTATTGGTGGCTTGGGTTGTTCCTCCTGCTCTTGCTCCTCCATTTCCGCGTCTTCTTCTTGGATCACGGCGTTGAAGAGCTCTTCTTCCGTTAGATGCTCCATGCTCCTGTTTCCTAAATAAAACGTGGTTGTACGGGGATCGTTCGCTTAAGCTTTTTTCGACGAAGCACCGCATCCAAGATGGCGTGTTTGGATACGGCGCGTCAGAAAGGGCGCAGTAAATCTGACGACGAAAACTCACCTCTTCGACGAGATCGGCAAACAACTTGGGCCGGGTTTTCCAAAGATCCTTTTATGTCGCAGCCCGATTTCTGGAGATTGGCAAAAGTTTACGTCTTCACTCTTCTGATGCTCTTCTTCAGGCCCGATTTCGGCAGATTGGCAAACTTTACGTCTTCACTCTTCTGACACTCTTCTTCAAGGCAGTGTTGTGAAGGGCAAATTCGGGTTTTCCCCTAAAAAATCTAGGTAACCGATGATTCGCCGGAAACTCGCGATTTCGACCCATATCGGTATAATTCGCGATCAGCCATAGATAGCTGATTTTTCGAAAATGCGCGCTGAAAAAACCGACGCTCGGCGAGGCTGCCACCTTGCCGCCAGAAACGGCTCTAAAACTGTTGCACTGCTTCGTTAAACTGCTTGCTGCTGTTGGCTCTGTCAGAGATCTGGCAACCCTGGCCTGTTTTGTTTATAATTTGAGCTTTGCTTTTGCGCGCACATGCGGCCAGCGAGAACCAGAGAGAGGGAGAGCGGCCCTGTAATCAAATATATGAAGCTAAACTAAGCTTGCAAACGGCAATTAAGTCGACCGCAAATCGAGAGAGTTCCGCAAGTCGACACCCCGACGCGCAGAAATCCGCTATAAAAGCGCTCGCCGCGTTGCTCTCTCGCTCAGTCATTTCAAAATTTACCGCTAATAACGTCAAAAAAGGTCGAGTTTTAAAATTCTGGCAACGCCAAGGGCTCGAAACTTAAAAATCGAAGCGCTGCCAACCTTTTTATTTCGAAAAAACGCTTACCAGCACTGAACACTCCTCGCCCGACAGCTGTTCGCTTACCTGTGTGGGTGTGTGCTGCATGTGTGTGCGCGTGTATATGTGCGTGTGGATTTATTCATAGCGAAGACCAAAAGGAAAATCAGAAGTTTTCGGGGGATATACGGATTTTACATAAGTCTAGCATGCCCGCACACACCTAGCGCCAGCGCCACAAGATCAGTTGGCCAGCAGCTCCTCCGGCTCCCCCTGGCTCTGTGTGTATGCGTGCGTGCGTGCGCGTGCTGCTGGTGTGTGTGTGAATGAAAAACCAGCAACTGTGAAAATATAACCAAAAATAAGGCCGAATTACCGTTGGCTTCCTCGCCAGAATCCTGACAGAGAGCGCATTGCAGACGACCAGTCCCAGTCCCGCTGACCCATTCGGCGGTTCACAGCTCCTGGCAACTCATTTGCTACTCCCTCTTCCGTGTGTTTGTGTGTGGTGTGTGTGTGTCCCCAACCAGGTTCAGCTCCAGGCTAGGATGGCGGATGCCCAGGCAGCTGCAGCACCAGCAACAGCTCCAGCAGCACCAGCAGCGGCCGGAAAGAAAAAGTGCAAGAACAAAAAGAAGGCGGAGAAGCCAGGCCCAGGTCCAGGCAAAGAGGAGAAGCAGGAGGACCAGCTGGCCAGCAATGGGTGTGAGTCGGTGAAAGAGCTGCAGGGCCTTCTGGAGCAGCTGCAGCTATGCACTGGCCTTGGCTATGGGCCGGACAAAACGCCTGGCTACACGCCGGAGGAAACGACTGGCTTTTATTTGGAGGCCACCGCCCACAATGGCCATGCACATGGTCATAGCAATGGCAACAATAACCACATACGGAGCAGCAACAACAACATTAGCAGCGGGTCCGTAAACCACAAAAACAATGTGGACAGCAGCAACAACAACAACAGCAGCAGCAGCAGCCACAAGCGTATAAAGGATGATTCACAGGAGAAGGAAAAGGAGCAGCAGGAGGAGGTGGAGAAGGATGCAAAGGAGGAGTCCATAACAGCCACAATCAAAAGCACTGCCAACACAACAACACGCAACGCCACAACATTAACAACAGGAGAGGGTGGAGGAGTAGCTGCCACGGGGAGCATCAGTGGCCAGGAGGAGCTGCCCTCCACTTCGGCAAAGGCTGTCACAGCAACTGCTGCTCCTGCAGCTGCTACCAGCGTCTCCCCAGCGGAACCCCAGGAGCTGCTGCCACCACCTCCCAACATTTCAGCGGACGAGATTGTGTACAAGGAGTACGAGGCCGAGCACCAAATGCATGTGAGTTTGTAGGGTTCCTAGGGTATCTCCCCCCTCTCTAATCCCCCACTCGCATCTTGCAGGACATCATGCGACTGATCCAGGCGGAGCTATCTGAGCCGTACTCGATATACACGTACCGCTACTTTATCTACAATTGGCCAAAACTCTGCTTCCTCGCCTCGCACGACAATCAGTACGTGGGCGCCATCGTGTGCAAGCTGGACATGCACATGAATGTGCGGCGAGGCTACATAGCCATGCTGGCGGTGCGCAAAGAGTACCGCAAGCTTAAGATCGGCACTACCTTGGTTACCAAGGCGATAGAGGTAGGAGCATGACCCAGACCCTGATAAAACCAACTTGTATCCTTGTTTGTTATCCATCACAGGCCATGCTGGCGGACAATGCCGACGAGGTGGTGCTGGAGACGGAGATGCGTAACGAGCCGGCTTTGCGTCTGTACGAGAACCTGGGCTTTGTGCGTGATAAGCGGCTGTTTCGATACTATTTGAATGGCGTGGACGCGCTGCGGCTGAAGCTCTGGTTTAGATGAGTGGCGCCGGCGGCTGCCGTTGAAATTGTTGTCTAAAGTAGCCGCCGGAAGATGTGTGGAGCAGGTGGCGCCCTCTCTTTTTTGTACCTATTCAACTAGGAACCATCGTAGCACCAGCTTCTAAATATTATTTTTTTTTTTTGCAATCCCCCTCCCTGCTCCCTCGCCCCATATCCTTGTTTATCCTGCCCGCCTCTCTTTCAATTGTACATTATTTTATTATCGATTATTATTATAGAGAAGAACAGATTACAAACTTAAGCGATTGCAAATTGGCAGCGATCAAACGGACCCAAAATTTTATTAATTTTACAGAAGGCAATTTTGTATGCAATACGTGATTTACATGCATAAAATTATACACATTAAAATCGTAAGCGAGCAATTAGTTATGTACATTAAACAATCTTTACAAAATCAATCTAGAGAATAGGCCTACGAGAAACAAGAACAACAAGCAGCACCAGCACACGCCATCCAGCACACAACACACACAATTTCAGAGCTAGAAAACATTTGAACATTGAAAGAATCAAAGTTTGTAAAAAGATTGAACAAAACAGAACATGTATATCAGGAATGAACACGAATCGGAACAAAAAAGAAGGACACGGGCACAGATTCAGATGACGGCTTACAGATAATGGATTACAGCTTAAGATAAGGAAGAGGATGCGGTGAATCCCGAGTAACATTGAAAGAACGCAATAAAAACTTCAATTATAAAAAAAAACGAAATCTCTATTTTTATTAAATTTCGTAGTGATTAAAAACAAACTCGAAAGAATTCCAAGTCCATCTTCCCTCTCCCTCTCGTTTCTTCCAGTCCCAGTCCGTCTCCTGCAATTCCAAGTCCGATTCGCCCGGCTCCTGCAATTCCAAGATCTATTCGCCTGGCTCCTGCAATTCCAAATCCGATTCGCCTGGCTCCTGGAATTCCAAGTCCTGCTTCCCCTCCCCCTCTCGTTTTCCCCAGTCCCAGTCCGGCTCCTGGCATTCCAAGTTCGATTCGCCCGGCTCCTGGAATTCCAAGCTTTCCTCCCCCTCCCTCTTCGCCATCTCTATAACCATACCCAGGTTTTCATTGTCAAGTCCATTCCCCAGTCCCTGCCCAACTGTAACTCCAGCCGTCATCCCCGACCCCGCCCCAGGACATAAGGAACAATTTAAGCAGGAGACCTAGGGCAAGGACAGCGGCAGGCCGTCGAGGTAAGAATCATAATAAAAAAAATTAGAATAAATCAAACCAGTTCATCCTGAACTGCTTAAGCGCAAAGAAAGCGAAATTGGAAGGATGCGGCTTAAGTACTTGCACTTGTTTAAAAAATTTTATTTATTTATTTTATATTTTTATGTAGGAGCGACACCTTATAAAGCAGATAAAGATATGCTTTTTACGACCACACATGCCAGCTGATTGGACCTGAAAACAGCTGGAACAGGTAACTATAAATATTTTTAATGTATATTTTTTAAATATAATTGTACACGAACTTCAAATATTCAGGCGTTTTAACTGACATTTTTTATGGTATTTCAGTGGTATATTTTGAAATATGAAATGGTATATTTTAGTATATTTCTGAGGGATAAATGGTATATTTCGATCTGTCCGGCGCGGTCACGCTGAACACAAACTAGATGGTGGAGCGAAATAGAGCTGGGAAACTATCGATAGTGACACCATTCGATATTTTCGATGTTTTGAAAACGAAAATTCGATACTATCGATAGTATCGTTTTTTTACGATTCTTTTTGCAAATTAAAGTTATAGCAATTTCAAATAGAATTATAATACTATTCAATATGTTTTGACTAAGTAATTAACATAAATATTCTATCCAAGCAACTTTGCACAAATAAAATTGTATTACCATTGCTAAACATACGCTTAGACTCTGAAGACGTGGCGTAGACGCACCCTTTCTTTTGAGATTCAGTTAATATTTTTCACCACCAACTCCAATTTAAGTTAATTTAGAATACATTTTTATTATAAAAAAAAAAAATATATATATACATATATATATATATTTGTTTGCATTTTTCTTACTAAATTTCAGCAACAAAGCAGAGATATAAAAATAGTCCCGTACTATCGATAGTGATAAAAAACTATCGATGGTGGCTCAAAAAAAGGAAAAAGTCGATACCTCGATAGTACCATCGATAGTTTCCCAGCTCTAGAGCGAAAGGAATAATAAAATCTAGAATAAAAATGATCTGTCGCCTGTGTCTGAACGCGCTGGACGAGCAGAACGCGGTGCTGCTGTTCGGCGGCGCCGGCGCAGGCAGCGCGCCCGCCGAGGCGGACGACAGCCAGGACGACGGGGCCAGCGGCAAGGCGATGCCGGAAAGCTACTTGGTGCAACTGATCTCGATCCACTTGTACCTCTGCGTGGGTGTCTCCCCTTGCCTAGGTCTCCTCTAGGCTCCACTAATTATCGCTCTCTTCTGGTCTCTCCTGCAGCTGTCGCGCGACGACGCCATCTCCACCTGCATCTGCACCGAGTGCTGTGCCCAGCTGGAGAGCTTCCACAACTTCTGGAAGCTGGTGGAGCTAAAGCAGACGACGCTCTGCAGCCAGTTCTTGGAAATCGACTGCGATGTCAATTGGTCGGAGGACGGCGGCGGCGGGGAGCCGGACGCACAGCTGGAGCCGCACACTGCACATCTGATTCTGGAGCCGGAGTTCCCCGAAATCTGGGTGAAGACCGAGCCAAAGGCGGCGGTTACAACGCCCACCACAGCCAACAAGTTCCCGTGCATGTTCTGCGAGAAGTCCTTCAAGATGCGGCGCTACCTCGAGGAGCACATTGCCACGCACACGGGCGACCGGCCCATAGCGTGTCCCTACTGTGAGATGGCCTTTCGGTGTCGCTCCAATATGTACACGCACGTCAAGAGCAAGCATACCACCCAGTGGCTGAAGGCTCGCGAGGAGCGGGATGCGGCCAGGTCGCAGAATCAGGGAGCAGTGCTTGGTGGCGAGGTGAAACTGGAGCCGGCGGAGGAGCCAGCTCCTATGACTGCTCCTGCCCCTGTCCCCGCTCCGTCAGCAGTTTCTGTCTCTCTCGTGCCCGCGTCAACTCCTGCTCCTGTGACGAAGGCGCCACAGCCATCACCTCCCAGCATCCAACAGCAGCCTCTACCACTGTCCGTGATAAAAAGCGAACCCGGCGAGGCCATCAATCTGACCATGACCAAGGCACCGCCATCATCGGCTAGCCGGGTATCCCGCACCCGTTCCAGCCGCCGCAAGACCCACTCGCCCAAGAAGGTGCAGCACACGGAGGGCAGCGATGCCAGCGACGAGGATCTGCCACAGAAGCGTCTCAAGGAGAACGAGCTGATATTGGCCAACTACAATGCAGTGGCTGCTGCCGTGGTGGCTGCCGCCGCCGCCTCAACGCTCACCGGCGGCAGTGCCTCCGTTCAGCCAGACAGCCTGCAGCAGCGCCTGTGCGCGAGTCTCCTCCAGCAGCAGCAGCAGCAGGACCAGCTCTTCGCCGTCATGTCGGCAACGGCGGCTGCGGCCGCAGTGGTTAGTTCGCATGGTGCAGCCACTACCACAACGACAACGACGACGACAGGTTCTATACTGGGCGATCCCTACAGGTAGGTCTCACGCCAAGAGAGAGAGAAAAGGAGCTTGGGCATTAGTTCTGGCGTCTCTTGCAGCTCCCCGCCAGCGGAGGCAGATAGACGAGCCCTGGACAAGCGACGGCACAACCCCCCGCCGCCGCCAACGACGACGTCCATCCAGGCCGCCGCACCCATCTCCTTGATCTGTCCCAACTGCGGCGAGCTGCCCGGCCAGAACCATCGCTGCCTGAGCAAGCCCAAGTACGCCTGTGACGTGTGCGGCAAGTGCTTCAAGATGAAGCGCTACCTGGAGGTGAGTACCAGCAGCAGCTCACCCTAATCCGACATGTAATCGCTCTCTATCTCTCCAGGAGCACTTTGCCACGCACACGGGCGTCAAGCTGCACACCTGCGCCTTCTGCCCCACGGAGTTCCGGTCCAAGTCCAACATGTACCACCATACCAAGCGCAAGCACAAAGCGGAATGGGAGCGGTCGCGAGCAACGCGCTCAGCGGCCAAGGCGGGTGCTCAGGAGCAGCAGCAGCCACAGCAGGAGCAGCAGCTGCCCAGTGTCTGCCAGGGAGGGCCGGCCGCTGTCTAGGTTATATCTATTACAAGTATACTTATTTTTTTGCATATAGATATGTATGTATATTAGCCATTACACCGATGTACTTATCCCAAGATTCGTAAACTCCAGTTCCGGCCAGCGCCACTTTTGTGTATACTCTTCTCGTTCTCTATAATGCCTTGACCAGTTGGATTTGGATCTGGTTATAAAGTAAACACATTCATTTCAGCCAAGCGAGTTTGTATATTGGGAAATTTCGAAAGGATAGGATTTCATGAATTTGGATAATATTTAAAAAAAAAAAGCACTAGCGCTGTCAAATCTTTAATGAAGTCTCTAATTAATGCGCCAGTGTCATACGGCTAATAATAAAAGAAAAAATGCTGTATTTTTTAGGTGGAAATTTCAACAATTTGAGATTTTTTAGGAGGAAAGCCTTGGTCACACTTACGTTTAACTTCGACAAAAGTGCTCCAATTTGTTGCAAATTTGTGCTTAAAATAGCTGGTAAGTTGTAAACACAACAATTCTAACTTTAGCCGTGAAAAGCGCAACTTGCGCCTGCATGAACGTGTTATTAAAACCAAGTAAACCATCAACGGCGGCACGCACACTCAGGCAGACAATTAGCGGAACGCCGCTTGAGAATGGCGATGCAAAGGAAAATGCGAAAAATTGACTATTCCAAAGGGTTCCCCTCTTTTTAGCATTAATCTTTGCCTATTCCACCATAGCCCACACACACACTCTGAAGTGGAGCTTGTGAAGTGCAACAGGATCGTTCTTGCCCCGGGCCATGTCCAATTCCATGTTGAATGTGTGAATATAATTTATGTCTTTGTGTGCGTGTCGGCGCCGTCTCTGTCTATGAGTGTGAGAGAGTGCGAAAGTGAGTGTTTTTTTTTCTTTCCGCTAGCCGGTACAAACTGAATCGAGGGGGTGGCGATCAAAGCAAAAACGGAACAAAAACAAACCGCCGCATCGCTTACACACGCGCACGCACACCCACACGAATTTGGTCCAAAATTGTTGAGGCTGTCGCACGCATACATACATACACACGAAGCCTTAACGCTTTGCAAAATTGCATTCAAAGTACAGTGTTCCCTGTCGAAGCTTGATTTTGGAAAGGATTGTGTTTAGAAAAGATACATAATGTATATGTGTGTGTATGTTGGTTTACAATAAAATGATTACACTTTACTGCGCGTTGGAAGTCTGAAGAGAACGGTATTAATATTGCCAGCTCTTTCTAGCGCTAGTCTTCCTAAGAGTAGAGAAAGGGAGCAAAAGAGACCTATGAACCAGAAAATATCTCTTCACTGTAGAGCTGGGAAACTATCGATAGTGACACCATTCGATATTTTCGATGTTTTGAAAACGAAAATTCGATACTATCGATAGTATCGTTTTTTTACGATTCTTTTTGCAAATTAAAGTTATAGCAATTTCAAATAGAATTATAATACTATTCAATATGTTTTGACTAAGTAATTAACATAAATATTCTATCCAAGCAACTTTGCACAAATAAAATTGTATTACCATTGCTAAACATACGCTTAGACTCTGAAGACGTGGCGTAGACGCACCCTTTCTTTTGAGATTCAGTTAATATTTTTCACCACCAACTCCAATTTAAGTTAATTTAGAATACATTTTTATTATAAAAAAAAAAATATATATATACATATATATATATATTTGTTTGCATTTTTCTTACTAAATTTCAGCAACAAAGCAGAGATATAAAAATAGTCCCGTACTATCGATAGTGATAAAAAACTATCGATGGTGGCTCAAAAAAAGGAAAAAGTCGATACCTCGATAGTACCATCGATAGTTTCCCAGCTCTACTTCACTGATCCTCATTTCTTTCTCTTTGCCAGAGAGCGACCATGAGTGCACCCGACGACATACCGTCGATGTCACCTGCAAGAAAGCGTGAAAAGTCCAGCTCCGGGAGTGAGTCCATGTCGCAGCCCTCGACCACGCCTCCTGTCGAACGTCCTTCTACCAGCAATGGACACGAAAGTGGCCACTTTCTTGGAGGACACGGACACGGACACTCGCAACACCACTCGTCTGGCCAACTGGGCAACCACCACCACATGCGCCGTCCCAGCGCCGGGCACAGTTCCACAGACAGTCGCAGCAGCTCCCACGGTGATGGTGTGCGGCGACTCTCCAGCATGCGCGATCGCGTCCTAGTGTCCAATGCTAATGCCATGGCCCGGGGAATGTCCCTCAGCGAGCTAGAGGACACAACAACAACAACCACAACCAGCTCCTCCTCGTCGCCGCATATGAATGGGCATAATCACAGCAACACAGATAATGATCAGCAGCAGGCTGGCACTTCCAATGGTAAGAGTTCATGAAAATCTACAAAATAAACAGATATTATTTAATAAAATAAAATTAATTCAGGATCTCGCAAGAAGAAGAAAAAGAAGAGACACTGGCATCGTAGCTCATATGACAGCGATCTCATTGGCTGGACTGGGCTCTACCCCAACCTGTCCAAAACCACAGACAAAGTTTTGGATAGCAATCCCGAGCTGGATGCGCAGGTGAGTAGCAAATGGTGTTGGGTTGGGCGAGAGAGAGAGGGAGACAGAGACAGGAAGAGCGGCGTGTCTGCTGCTGTCTGTGCAGGCTTTGAGATTATTCCTCTGTATAACCAGAAACTGGCTAATTTCCGGAGATTCTCTTGTATTTTGTAGTTTTTTTATGTTAATTTATTTTTGCCAAAATAATTTTTATTTTCATAATAAGTCGGTCATATGTTAGATATATCGAAGCTTTTTCAAAATATTTAAATGGTCATAAAAATAAAATAATCGTTAAAAAAGGAAAAAATTTAATTACAGATTTTGAATTTGTGGCTTAATGTTTACTATTTAAATATTTTTTTAAATGATACATCAAACTCACTTGTAGATATATCACAAATTTAGAATTATTTATCGAATTTTTTTTCATATCGATTTTTTTCAAATTTAATTCCCAAATTTTCGATATCGGACTTATACTCCCGATACACATTCAAAAAAACGAGTGCCACCTGAATATAGCACAGTTTCAGATTGAAATCTGTGAACTGTGACCGTTCCCGTGGCATTATCCTTGGGGGACACCACCCCCAGGTGTGTTCTGGTATACAGAGACGCTTATGCCTGCTGTGTTGCTCCCATTTCTGTGTGCTTGGGTGTGTGTTAGTGCTCTGTATGTAGAATGCGGACATGATTTTGTTTGTTCTGTATTATTGTATGTATCCTGTGCCCGCCTCCGCCTCAAACTCCGACTCCGTCTGCCATCTCAACTCGCCTCAACCTCGACCAACAACCATAACCATATCCAGACGTCCGACGAGCTGCTGGCCCTAAGCAGACGTGGTCTAATGGTGTATCCTAGAGAGGCACAGGGATCGGAGGCAGCAGTAGCAGCCGCAGCAGCAGAGCCGACTCGAAATCCTCAGCCGCAGCAGCAGCAGCCGCAGTCGCTAGCAACGTCTCCATCGCCGATCGAGTCCTCTCTGTCTCCCAACTCTGAACTGAATAGGAATCTGACACCAGGACCAGAAACAGGACTAGTACCTGAACATGAACCACCACCAACCACAACTAGTACAAATCTAACAACGACAACAGCTAGTAACAGTTCCAACTGGGACGCAGCAGCCACTTTCCGTGTAAGCTCCCCAACAGCATTCACAGAGCTAGACCACCACGAGGAGACCCCGAACACTAAACCCATGCTTTGAGCCGGGGGAAAATCACTCCAACCACTAACCATTGACCTTTTCTACCGCTTTTGTTGTTCCCCCCGTCTAGGAGAAGAGCGTTGAAGATGATTCCAAGGAGCCACAGCCACAGGTTGCTGCTGATTCCAGTACCTCGAGCCTCGGTGGCAAGCGTCAAGGCATGCCACTAGAAAACCAGGTCAAGCAGGAGGAAGAGGACGAGCATCCTAATGAGAAAACTACGGCTAAAGAGAAGGATCAACTGGCGCCGCCATTGTCCAAGCGCCAGAAGAATGAGCCACCTGTTCGTTCCTTGTCTCGTTCCATGTCCCTGGATATTCAAGATACGCTACCTAAGCACGAGCAGGCGACGACCAGCCGCTCTAAGAGCCAGGATTCGTTGATTGATGACAACCTGGGGTCACCAAAAACTTTGGCCAAGAAAGAGGAGCGGAGCCAAGAGGAGGAGACCAATTCGCAGCCGCCTCTAAGCGTAACCAAGTCCGAGACGCCTTCTCCTAATGCAGTGGAACCCGAGGTGGTTTATCCAAAGGTAGCAGAGCCTGAGGTGCCATCTCCGAGCGTAGCGGAGCCTCTTCCTCAAGGCATAGAGGAGACTCCTCCTCCAGGCGTAGCAGAAGAGCCTGCTCTTGCAGGCATAGCTGAGACTCACCCTCTGGACGTAGCAGAGCCTGCTCCTCCAGGCGAAGCGGAGCCTTCACCTCTAAGCGTAGCAGAGCCGCCTCTGCTAAGCGTAGCGGAGACTCCCCCTCTAGGCCTGGATGAGCCTCCTCCAAGCGAAATAAAGATGAAATTGCTGCCCAACAACAACAACACCATGATGACTACAGTGAAGCTAAAGGCCACCGATGAGTTTTATCGGCTGCCCTTCTCCTATGGCTGGCGTCGCGAACTCGTCTTGCCCAGCCTGGGCAATCCCAAGCGTCGCACCGGCGACGTCTTTTTCATCTCACCCAGTGGTCGGAAACTGCGTTCCCGCGAGGATATTATACCCCTGCTGGAGGGCGATCTGACCATACAACATTTCTGCTTCCAACGTGCATCGCAGGAGGTGGGTCCCCAGTATGAGGTAGTGCGGCGCGCTACGCCTGCCTTGTACCGGTCCAAGCAGAACGAGGCGTCGCAGGAGCAGGATCTGGCTGTGACCGGAAAGCGTGTGCCCAAGCCCAAGGTACCAAAGGGTGCCAGTCCACCCAGCGAGGGATGGACTTCCACGGCGGCGGTGAAGGGTAAAGTGCGTAGTACATTGTCAAGCAATGGTGGGAATCTGGCAGTTGCCGTCTCGCGCAAGCAAAGGTAGGTGGGCAGCTACTTGAGATCTCTCATAGACTAATCTTAATGTCCACTTACAGCAAGGTTTACAAGGTGTCGAGCAGCGAGAAGGAACGTGAGTCTGAGATCGAGCAGCAACAGCAGCAACCTGTGGCTCTGCCAGTGGATGTTTTTGAGGTTTCTGACGACACCGAGGAGGATAATGATGATACCCCCAGTAGCAGTGGCAGCGCCATGGAAATAGCCGAGGAAATAGAGCTGCCGGGCCAAATGCCACCATCTCACCTCTTTGAGCAGGAGCAGGAGCAGGAGTATCGCCCTTTGAGGGATATGGATGTGGTGGTAATTGGTGGACGCAAGGCTATTTTTGTACGTGGTCCACCGCAGCCGCCACTTGTGAAACTGTGAGTCGGTTCCCTTCCAAAAAATGGGAATTTTACAAATCGTCTTTAACTAACTTTTGAGGGAATTTTCAACTTTATACAGGGTGCCACGCCTGCCAGACCTGACCAGCTACGATCGGATTTACAGGAAGCGCATCCAGGACAAGAGAATGGGCCAGACGCTGGCCATAAGCCTCAACGATGCCCACATAGGGGTCAATGTGCTGGCTGCTGTAATGAAAACCCTAAACATGAAGGTAAGTAGCATATAATCCTCCTTAGTTTTTTTTTCAATAGATTAATAGCTATTTTTGTTTCTTCCCTCAGGAACGTGTAACCATATCGCAGGTGTGCACCACCTGGGCCATGGTTAGTCGCGATAATCGCGTCTGGAACAAGGTCATATTGCGGGATACGTATGTCGGCAATTGGATTAAATTGCTTACGGAAATGGCCCGCCATCGCACTCGCGAGCTGGACATGATGGGCGTGATTATGACCACGCCAAAGCTGCGTTTTACAGGTGAATTGCGCATAGTGAAGTCATTGCGTTCACTGCGCACCGATGCCACCACCAATGAGTTCCTAAAGCTGGTCCTAACCAGCCTGCCGCAGCTGCAAGAGCTGCGAACGACCTGTGTGAGCTCCCACCTGCATTTGGGCCGGCTAGAGAGGATGCGGAAATTGCGTGTGCTCCGTATTAATATGACGCATCCAAAGGCTCAAGCCCTTCACATTAACGCCGTGCAGAACTTGAGCCACCTCACCGAACTGAGCATCCGTGGTGTGGCCAATTTGCAACAGTTGGACCTCATGCAACTGAAGCTGCTGACCCGCCTGCAGGTTCTGGGATTGGGCTCCTGTGAGTACCTAAACCATGAGCAGCTCGGACGCGAGGTGCTGCCCTGCCTGAAGGCCCTGCACACGGTACGCATTGAGAACGATCATCGGGCCATGGCCATGTTTCCGGTGGATGAGATTTTGCGTGGTTTGTCCCTAGCTGGCGGCGTGCAACGCCTCGAGCTGATCAACGTGGATGTGGATAGTGGATTTGGCCAACTCCTAGCCAGCTGCGGAACTGTAACGCATCTACTGCTGGCGCCCAAGTGCCTGCACAATACGGCGACCATGACCAATGCCGTGATGCAGGCCATCAGGGATAATGCGAATCACTTGGCGGTATTTCGTTTGGTCCTGGTTACCCAGCTGCTGAGTGCCACCGAGAATCTGTACAAGGGAACCCAGAAGAACGTGATACCAGTGCAGCGTCCTGTGCCGGGCATACCCTATGGCGATGCCCTCAATCACTGCTCGCCGGAGGATAATTGCCAGGAGGAGGAGCACACCCAGTGCGTGGCCTTTCTGCCCGTCGAGCGTCTGGAGGCGATACTCAACGAAATGATGCCCATTGGGTATCTATCGGTGGCCAAGGTGGCCATGTCGGAGACCACAAATGTGCAGTTCCTCAAGCCCGGCGTCACCGAGAGCACCTAGCCTGAGGATCAGGAAATTGTATAAGTTAGTTAAGTAAAGAGAAACCACCCCATCACCCACACATTAACCCAGTAGCAGAGAAAGTCAAGACTGAGTCTTCACGAGCCATCATCACCTTACACACTAAGCGATTCGAAAATGGGAGGTTAATTTTTTAATTTGGAGTTTTTCTTTTATTTTTGTTCCTGTCTGGCCCGTCTCCTCGAGGTGGGTTTTGGCAAATCTAACACCTGGAAAACCTTGTTTACCTTAGTTTATTAATAAGCTAAGACGCCACAGCAATGCTGTGTAAAAGCAAACACAATGAATGTATAATACAAAAAAAAAAAAAAAAAAAAAAAAACAAAAGAAAGAAACTAATAAAGACAAAGGTGTAATTAACCTAAAATTAAATGGAAATTATGAACTTACGTACCCCGAAGGACAAAGATTGAAGAGGATAAAGAGGATCCCCTATTTTTAGATTTTCCCCCTCAGAATATTTCTCAGTTTCTTTTTCCATACAAAAAGTTTGTGTTCTTTTTTTTATTGCATTTAAATATAAAATCTTAAAAATAAATCTCCAAAAATATACAGTACAGTACACTGGCTTTAAAAAGTATCTCCACGTTATTATTGTTTGTTGTTCAGTGTAAGAGTAGAAAAAAAATATAGTTGGCGAAATGTACAAGACAAATGCAGCTGCCACATTTCGTTGCGTCATGTGGATCGAGAGAATATATATTCAAAAATATATATATATGTAGATATAGATATAAATACGAAGTACACTGCACTGCACTGTGCGTGAGGCTCTGCCATGGCAAGGAGTAAGATAATAAATTACGCCTGCAGCGCTCGAAGTGCACTTTGGACATGGTCTAGGCTAGGGCTAGGGCTAAGGGTCTGGGCTAGTACTAGTTGTACTCCTGTTTGGGAAAGTAGTCGGGCACAAAGATGTGTATAATAATCCCGGTGGTCATCAGGGCAAAGTAGACAATGACGGCCACCCACCAGAGGATGCGCTCCCAGCGCCGCACCTCCAGATTGCGCAGCACTCCGATGCCCACCAGCAATCCAGCCACGGCACCGGACAAATGCGCCACATAACCGATCTGATCGTATTGATCGGTCAAATGGCGATATATCGAGGTGCCCAGATCGGTGAAGCAGAAGACAAGGAAGGCTAGCAGCTGGACAATGGCGTACTCCATTTCCGAGTAGTTCTGTGGGATAAGGAAACGTGTTAAATGTATAACTTCTATGATCTTTGGTGCTGTCTCACCATTATAATCGTGGCTATGTGCGCTGTAATCAAGGCATACACTCCTCCGGATGCTCCGGCCAGGAAGATGCGCGGACTGGTCAGCGAGGTGCCCATGGAGCCAGCCAAAACGCCGGCCAGATAGACCAGCGCCACGCGCCACCAATGATGCACCAGCTCCAGGGCAATGCCCAGGAATATTTGGATAATCAGGTTCATCATCAGATGCATGATGCCCACGTGGACGAACATGTAGCTGACGAAGCGCCAGCCCTCGTAGCGTTTGTAGGGATTGTAGATGAACAGTGTCGCTGCCGGACCGCTGGTGCTCTCCCCAATGTTGTCCTGGTGATTGGGGTCGTCCCTGGTGGAAGGTAAAATAAATATTAAATATTTATGAATAATTTTTGGGAAAAGTAAAGCTTAAAAATGTAATACCTAAGCCAAAAATCCATAAAATTCAATGTGGGAAACAGTTGTGAGCTAATTTGTAATAGTTTAATAAATCTACATACTGAATTTTATATTTTAAACAATTTTAAATGTTGATCATTTTTGAATATTTTAATCCTTATCAAATTTTGAAAAAATTGATCAACAATTTTTTTATTTCCCGACATGGCTAGAATCAAGAATTTATATAATTTATAGGGTCGGATATGACTCCTTCACAGAGTTACTAGCCTCTGATTAAAATTAAAATACCCTTCGGGAAAACAGTCTTAATCACCTATTTATCATATACATATATATGTATATATATATATATCTAAATATACATATCTGTTTATCCATGTCCCAGAGGCTTGGGAAACTCAATACTACTTAAAACAATGCAGCCATAAATTCAACTGAAAAAAAGTCATAGTTTTCCGACTTAAGCTTCCCTATGATATCATATATCTTCAATAGTTTGCATTTAAAATTCTACGAAACATTGAGGCCGTACTCACTGAAAGTGTATGACGTCCACGAGGAACATGATAATCTCGATAATCGAGAAGATGACCATGGTGAGCGGCGGCGGGCAAATGGACATCTGTTTCTCGTAGGCGCCATCGGGTTCATCACCCTCCAGTGGCTTGGGTGGCGGCACCACATAGCGACAGTAGCGGGCCAGCAAGTTGCGTGCCATCCACTTGTGGTGCAACGACATACTATAGAACTCCTCAAAGTCCAGATGGCCATCGTTATCCTGGTCGCTGCGCTTCAAGATCTGTGCGGAAATATAGGCGGGTATGTCCCGGCAGTAGCCGTCAGAGATTAGCTCCTTCAGCTCATGGGTATTGATGAGGCCATCTCTATCGGAGTCGTGCTGTAAATATTAAAAACTTTTAATAATATATTTTATATGGTAAATATCTTGTGAGAATGTCTTAATAGTAAACCGAAAGTTATATATGTTTATTGAGATCATTTAAATTCGTGACTTATTCGGCAGCAAATACTAAGAAGGATTTTTGTGTATAACCTTTCATGTCAGTTGGCCATGAAACCCAGTCTGTCATGGAGTAAAGTGTCATAAGGGATCTATATTAATCTGACATCCATCCCAGTTCAGATATAGGGCCCCGTTCAAGGCAACGATTTATACCGCCACCTAGCCAAGTCAGGAATCGGAAGAAGTAAGTTTTACTTTGAATTTAAAAGCTCTCAATTAAATACCATACAACAAACAAGATGCATAGCGCCATACAATTTGTTTTTATTTTAAGATAATTTTAATAAATATGTTTCGAACTCAAGCCTAAAATTATCAGAATTAAACTTTTTAAACATAAGCCAACCTTTTAATATCATTTTTTCTTAGAAATAAATAAAATATAATTATAATTAAAAAAAAATATATATATATTTAGTTAGAGTCCAGATTAAACAGTCAATAATCAGATTTTGTTCCCTGTAAAATGGAAATTCGATATTTTTATGATTCTAGATGATGCATAACTTGAACTTGAGACTTTTAAGACTTCCTGCAGTCTATTTTCTGCAGAATTTAAATGTACACAAATACTCGGCCCAGACTAGAATTTAGTTTTAAAAACAAATAAAAGCAAAGCTATAGAAATATATAACTTTTCAACCTCCCCAGAGATGGCCCAACTATCTCAGATGACCCGCTATGTCACCAGCGTGCTGGGCTGGTTACCAGCGGCAACGGCATCCTCCGATTGCTCCCCGCCGTCGTCGGCGAAGAACCAAGAAGAAGATGCCTTGCAGGAGTCGTCCGGCTTTGTCACCGTAATGGCAATCTACCTGGCCATTACCATTGTCTTGGTGGCGGTGAGTTTCATCACAGCCAAGGACCAGGCTACCAAATATCCCAACCGATTAAAAACCAAACGGAAGATAACTCGACCCCAAGAACAACAGCAGCAGCAACGTCCTTGGCGTTTTAGCACAACGGGCATGGCCATGACCAAGCTGATCCGCCAGCTGGGTAGTCCCAAGCGTTCGCGGCATCAAATGCGCCTGCGCCTTCGGATGCGACTGCGCCGGCATTTGGAGCAGGAACTGAAGCTGATGAGGGAACTGCAGGAGAAGGGGCCGCAGCTGGGGTTGCTGGGCAGTCAGGATTTCGAGGAAGTCAATAATTCCGGCTACTTTGATCCATCCTCCGAAGCCGATCTCTGAATTCACACATAGACCAGACTCAAACTAAATTATACAGTGGAAATTTCAGACCTCCAAGTGAGATAGCTTTTATCGAAAATATATAGACAGAAGCTACAGATTCTCGTCTCTTGATTGATTTTTGTCTAGAGGGTTGCCTCAGCTTGCAACAAATGTTGTGGCATGTGAGGTAATTGTGGCCATAAAAGGCCAGGAATGCAACGGATCCAAACGAGAAACTTGGCTCTGGCCAAAAACGGGGCTAATCGAAAACAAAGCGAAACTCATTGGCTGTGACTATAGTTGCACAATCATTGAAACGATAGGAAAGTGCACAAGTTGGAGTGACTTAAGATTTTACTTACTTACTTTTAAATATTTAACTTCCTTTCCCTGGAATAATTTCGTTTAATATATTCTCCCATTTAGTCAGCAGTTTAATTAATAATAATCAGAGTTTAGTTTCTCAATTCCAAAATCATTATTTACAGCCCCATATATGGATAACGTTCTTGATAGCCTTGTAAGCCATAAAAAAACAATACTATTTCAGATAAGATGACCACTGACCTTGCATAGAAATGTTACGAATATGACTGAAACGAAGATTTTCTTAGGCAAAAGTATGACTTTATCATTAATTATAAATATTTTAGGACATAAGACAGTCTATCTAATTTTATTATTAAATGTTTTCCCAGAACAAGTGACAGAAACTGGCAAAGACAAAGACAAAGGCAAGCAAACCCCCCGCAAATGTTTATGTTCGCAGAGAGATCTGACTGTCGACTATATAGATATATATATTATATGCTTATATGCTATATATGCATGCAGCACTGTGGAAAATTAGATAAAGTCACTTATAGAGCACCCATCCATACCCTGTCATCCATTTCATACGATAAGCGCTTAGTCTGGGAAGGAGGATTGAAGCTTAGTCACCTGTTAATTATTGCAGTCACTCCAGAAAAAAAATATATATATCATCTAGCGAGTGGTATTCAGGTTCATATCAAGAAATAAAAGGCAAAGCACTGGCTTATCTCTGACATATCAAAAAAACCTAATATTATTTGGATTTATTATAGCATTTACAAGAGAATATGCTCTTTTACAAAAAAAAAAAAAAAAAAAAGGCGTGGTTCCCCAAAATACCTAATGATTCTCCTGCCTAAACGATGTTATTTTATAGCTTAAAAATATCACACTTATCATTATATCTTTTCTATATCCCAAATCATTGGTGGTATGCTCAAGAACTCCACATAATAGTGCTGTTTCCATGTGTATTTTAGTTATATCATGGATAGATTGCGACTATTGAATGGAAGCTTGAATGTTTGGAGCAACAGAACCAGCGACGAGATAAGATTGCGAGCAGCAAAGAGGAGCCAGAACACAGGAATGTGTCCGATTTCCAGGCGGCTATAGAATTAGATCGAATTTTGGAAAGTATGCTAATCAAGTAGCCGCTCCCCCCCCAGAGACTCTATTTCATTTGCGTTAATTAACAGCACAGCAGAAAAACAACAACTGGTTGTGGCCGCAGGGCCATTGAACGCTCTCTGCATTCCAATGGGAATACGAATTATGGAACCCTTGGGACCGGCATAAAGATATTTCTCCGAATTCTCAGAGATCCAGAAATTAGCCAGTAAATCCCCAATGCCAACAGGTGGGCGGTGGGTGGTCAGTGAGGGGTTAAGTGACTAACGCCACGCCACACACACTCACAGAGACAGACAGACGGCAACACACACGCGAGAAGCGAAGACAGAACTCAAAGCGAGCAAACAATAATTTATAACCGGTTATTTGTGTTTCTTTTTTTTTTTATTCGCCGCCCCTCTGTCACGATAAGAAAACTCACTGCCAGAGTTTTCAATGTTAAGAAAACAGAGTGCAGCTAAAAAAAAAGTTAAAATAAAATGGGTAGCTCGTAAAAACATAATGCTGACACACACATGAGGTGCAAAAATGAGTGACAGGGGGGCCAGTGATGGGTTAAGCCCTATCAAAAAATAAAAACAACTGGAATTTATTATTTAAAAATATTTCAACGACGTGGAAGTAAGCAGTAAGGAATGTTATTTTGAAAGGAATTCAAATATTTAAAATATAGTTTATTTTTGAAATTATTTTAGAGAACAAATTCCTTATTTGCCAAGTCTGAAAAAGTCACGTTTTTAAAAATGACGCCAAAAAAATAAAAATAATTAAAGACACAGTATGGCTTTAGACTTTGCACTTGAAAAAGAAGGACTGCAAGTTTATTTTTCATTTACTAGTTTATAAAGTACAACTAAGTATCCATTCGAGATGTATAAAAGAAAAAAATATCAAAAATATTATAATATGTGTAATATAAAATAAAAAGATCTCAAATTAAACCTTATAAGAAATCAAGCTTCTTTTTAAATAGTTTTAAAATAAAAACCCTAGAAAAAAAAAATAATAAGACTAAATATCAGTTAATTTTAGGTGAACTGTTCTCCGTTTTGCGAGTTGTGTTTTTCGGGGGTTGCTTTTTCCCTACCGAGTTACCGTTAATTAAAATACAATTTTTTTCAAGGAGCGTGTGCGTGTGTCCCCTTCCTCGACCGGTGCCCGCTAATGGGTTAAGGTGGGGTCTTATTTTTCTCTTCTTCTAGGAAGTGCGAGGAGCACAGCACTAGCGGATCGATGCTAGCAGATGATTCACCGCCAAAGGCAACTTTCACCAAGGGCGAGAAGAAGACGGACAGACAGAGCCAAAAACACAAGCAACTTCATTCACCGCTAAGCGAAGCGTACGTGTGTGCATGTGTGTGTGTTGCGAGTTCGGGCCGGGTGTTCTAATTACAGTTGTGCATTTTGTGCAGTTTTCGCGGAATTTTATCAAAAAGGGGAACTTGCCACTGTACCTTGTCGAATATCTCGCGCATCTTGCGCCGATCCTCCGGCTCCTGGGAGTGGGTCTGGTTTAGCGGGATCTCCTCCATGTCGATGGTGTCCTGGCGCAGTGTCGGTGGTCGCGCGGGGGGCGAACGTCGCTCGGGGGGAATGGTGGGGTACAGGCCATTTTCCACGTCCCGCTGCTGCTGCATTTGCAGCTGCTGGGCGGGAGTTTGGCTCTGCTGGCGGTTCACAGTTTTCACGGGCATGGTTCACTAGAGGTCGGTTCTGGCCGGGATCGGTGGGCAGAAACAACACACACACAGACACAAAAACGAAACAAACTAATCCCGAGATCTGCACACTGAAAAGTACCGCAATCGAAAGCGAAACCGAAACCGTTAGCCGAAATTCAATTACACTCTGTGCTTCGACTCATCGCCCGCGTCTTGTGTCCCGATAAGATTAAGAACTGCGGGCCATAAAAAGTGGTCGAAATGGACGCCGCTTGTCTTGACTTGGCCCAACGAAAATGCCGTGTCGCGACGGTGAAAAAAAACAAAGCGCGAAAAACAACTGACCAACAACTAACAACCGAGGACCGTTTTCGGACCGTGGCTGAAATACCAACGGGATCGCGGAAACATACCGAAACAGGGAGCAGTATATACTGGAAATAGGCAAGAAAATGAAAAAAGTCAACATGTTGGCCCCCTTGGAAAATTTCAAATTATTTTGAATCATTTTACATACATTAATTACAATTTTTATTTTATTATACATATGAAGCGTCAAAATGGAACCAGCAAGGAACTCGTTCCTGAACTAATGAACGGAAAATAATAGTAAAAAAAATACTAGATTTAAATACATTTGTAATTTTTGGAATTTAAGCCTAGTACTCTGACTCCTGTTACCCAATAGAAAGCACGGTACCTCAAACGAAAGTTTCTTTAATTTCTGTAAAAATCTTGAGCCGAAATAACCGACAGATTTTGAAAATTCAAATTGTGCAGTGTTGTAAAACTCTCGCGGTTGGTCAGTGCTGCCAACTGCCCGTTGTTTGGCGTAATTTTCAAAAATTTGAAACAGGTTCAGGTTCAAGTTCCTTGGACTTGCATTTTATTCCCGAAATATGCAAAATCAACTTGTTTTTTGGCAGTCAAAACAGAGGCAAGATCTGCTGGTATCCCCCCGTATCAGGCAGCTGCTCCTCAAACTTTGCCCCCCTCGAATTGCGGCGCATATTTATCTGGCTTCTGATAGGCGAGGGAGCAAAACAAGCAGCAAGAGTTGTCACCGTAGATTACACATTTTAATTTCTGCGACGCTAATCAGAGCCAAGAGTATGCAAGTTCACAGTATTTTCGCCAGAGCAGCCCACCACCGGCCTCCTCCTGCCCCTCTCCAGGCACCTTTATATGTATGTATGATGTATTCCTTATTTTGAATTTCGTTTTCATTTGCTTTTATCGCAAGGCAATACTGGCCCCGTTATAATTGTGTGCGTGCATTTGTTTATGGGGGCCACTGAGTGGGCTGAAGACGCAGGGGGTGTGGTCGCCCCTTGATTATGCAAAAAACAAACAACAAGTGGCTCGCGGGGGGCGCTGTCGAAGAGTGCAGCAAAACATATAGCGGTAAATGTACGTACACACATACGCAAAACAAGTTTCAACGCCGCCGCCGCGCTCCGAAATATTTAACGCTGGCTGCCATGGCGTTCATTAGCCAGTTTGTACGGCAGGCGAGCAGACGCGCCACCGGAATCAGACCGATCCTCCAGAGACATTGCCCAAACCCAGTAAGTTTTCCTTTCCTTTTCGGTTTGTGGCAGCCACAAATTCGCGGTTTGAGTGTATGTGTGTGGGGGCGTGGGTGGCAACCCTGCCCGCAACACCGATAACAATAACCGTTGTTTTTGTTGCTGTCTGGCTGGTGTGAAATTTCACAACTTAACTGAAAGAAGTTTTTGTTGATCGCCAGACTAACCACAGCACCATGGACACCACAGTGCATTCGGCCGGAATTGCGGAGATTCACCATGTACCTATGAGTGTGATCAAGCGGCCAATACCCTCCGTCCTGGACGAGCAGAAAGTGGCATCGTTAATGGAAACCATAAAGGTGAGTGGAGTGTGGGTGCGGGGGCAAGGGTTAATGGAGTTGATTAGAAATTAGAATGAACATTATCAATAATGTTTAGCTGTAAACTTTAACTTGACTAACTAACTAAAGCTGCAAAGAGCCAAAATACAGGATTTTTGCTATCGATTGCCATTTCCGATGACTTGCCTTTCCTGTGAAATGCTCTCTAACTCTCTCCATCTCCTTCTTGTCTTTCCTGTGAAATGCTCTCTCCAACTCTCTCCATCTCCTTCTTGTCTTTCCTGTGGAAATGCTCTCTCTAACTCTCCATCTCCTTCTTGCCTTTCCTGTGAAATGCTCTCTCTAACTCTCTCCATCTCCCTCTCCTTGGAACACAGCACGAAGAAAGCGAGGCGGAGGAGGTGCCACCCATCGATCTGCTGTGGATAACGGGCAGCGAGGGCGGCGACTACTATTTCAGCTTCGGCGGCTGCCACCGGTTCGAGGCCTACAAGCGGCTCCAGCGGGAAACCATCAAGGCCAAGCTGGTGCGCTCCACCCTGGGGGATCTCTACCACTACATGGGCTCCAGTGCGCCCAAGTACCTGGCCTAAGCCTTATCTATGTATGTTTGTGCAATGTTTTCTTTGTTTTCGTTATTTTTTTTACCTTTATTTCAAGCTTATCGCTGGATTCTAAATATAAATGCCTTAAATATAAATATAAGCTTCTAAGATTAAATACAAGTGCCTTAAAAAAACATAAATACTTGGAGTTTTATGGATTTCTACGCTTCTTCAGCCTAATTTACAAATTCCCTAAAATTATTCGAAAATCCTAGCTGGCAGGAGGAGGAGAGGGAGTGTCTTGCTCACCACAAAAAGGGCGATCTCTCCCTGAGTATTCGCAGTCCATATTTTTGCCAGTCGTGCTGCGATATCCACAGCTCCCGGGCGCTCTCCAGCACGGACATAATGGCCGCTCCCTTCCACGCCACCATGCCGGCGTCCATGCCCTTGATAAAGACATTCACCTCAATGCCGCTGGGCAGCATCTGCTGGCTAATCCGATGCTCCAGCCAGGCCGGCAGTCCGGGCAACTTGGCGCTGCTGCCCACCAGCAGAATGGAGTTGAACATCTTGCGTTTGGTTTCAAAGTTGGGCAGCCGGTTGATGGCTTGGATAATGGCCTGATCCAGGGGCAATACCTGACCCAGATTGTTGTGATAGCAGTCCCTGTTCTGGCCTGCCGACGACTGTTGCTGCTGCTGCTGAGGCTGCGACTGGGAGTTGCAGTTGCCTTCTTCTTGGTCCACAACTATTAGCTCTTCATCGTCGGCGGTCACGGGCAGCTGGGGAGGCCGCGGCACAGAGGAATTGGGAGCCAGAGCTAGCGGCAAACTAGTGTCGCCCGCCCGGACACCGTTCTTTCTGCCCGTCTCCTTCAGATACTCGGCATCGAAGCAGTCCTCGCAGTCGTACTGCTCTTGGGGCGCCTGCTGCGTGCACACGGCTCTCGTGCGGCCCGTAATGTTCAGCAGTTCGGTGTGGAAGAGGGCCAAAGGGGCCATGATGGCCTCGTCACCCACTTGAAGTGTGTACCTTAGCCACTGACCATTCTGCTTGCGCAAATTAAAGTGCTTCTCCTGGGCGCCACAAACACTGGCATTTAAATGGCAAAACTTCTCCTTCAGCTCGTCCAGCAGATGGGCATCCACATAGCTGTCCTGGACATTGCATTCGCGGTAGGGAAAGCCGCACTTGCGCAGCAGCATAAGCAGCACCTGGTTGAGATCACCGCCGCCGTAGTTTAGCCTCACCCTGGCATCCATCTGCGAAATCCCATCCTCGATGCAGGCAATGGAGGTCTTCTGGGCACCGATATCCACCACACAGCCGTAGCCAATGCCGGCGCCATAGGTGGAGGCCACGCTGTCCTGGACGAGGAAGCAGCACCGGAAGCCCAGTCGCTGCAGCAGCAGGGTCATGAACTCGCGCAGATGCCGCCGCACATAGACATCGTTGACCACGAGGACGGCACAGTGGGTGCCCAGGTCGCGCAACGGTATCTTCAGGCGGGTCTCCAAGGCGTAGGCCCAGATGCGCTCCATATGCTGCAGATTGGCCTGTGAAAAGGGGAAGCTTGTTATTTAAGGAGTTAAGTTACAGGAACTGGACACACCTGCAGTGATCCACCCTTCTCCTTGTGCACATTCAGCTCGCCCCTCTGTATGGGAAAGTGGATGTCGTAGTCGCGAGCCTCGAAGGCGCTTAGCCGCAGGATTTGGTCATCGAACAGGGCCAGCGCCTCGCGGTCCAGCCACGGCTGCTCCTCGGGCTGCGGCGGCGGCACCTTCTCAGCCATACTGCTCCTATTGAAGTGGGCCAGCTGCTGCGGAGGCGTGGCCACGCGCAGCCGGTTCTTCTCGTCCACGACGCAGTGCTGCAGGATGCGCGACACGGCCAGGCGCTGCTCCTCAAACTCCATCTGCAGCCGGGCGGGATTGATGTTGTCCAACGGCGGCAGCAGGGGATCATGGTGCGGCCAGTCGCCTTCCTTCTGTCGCCGCCGGTAAGCCACCGCATGGAGCAGGGTCAGAGGATTTAGGTCTGCCGCCCGGCCAATGCGTAAATGCTGTGATCCCGGATGGATCACGATGATCTTGGGCGCCTCCAAAGGCTGCACCTGGCGCTGCTGTGCCGGCGTTGTCGCCGTTGCCGGCTGCCGGCCGCTGCTGGTGCTGCTGGCGCGAGATCGTCTAAGGAAGAACACGACACATGGGGGGTTGGGTTTGATGGAATACTAGGTGAGGCACCACTTACTGCATGGTTCGGTCCGAATCCTGGTCCGTGAAGCAACAATTAAAGAGTTTATTTAAACTTTTGTTCTTTTTAAACCAATCGATATGTGGACAAGCTATCGATGGGCACTCTTTATTGATCGATGCATCGATACTATTATTTATTTCCTTGTTTTATTAGCAATAATATATTTTTATAATATATATTTTTATAAATGTGCAAATACCAAGGTCTTTAACTATTTATTTTTATCGCTAAATATAAAATAGAATATAACCTTAAAATATTAAATACATCTATAAATACCCCAAGCATCGATGTTTTTGAAAATTTCGAAAACATCGATACATCGATTGTGCCGTTGTCGTCTCGTCCAGCTCTACACTGAGTTTTCCAGAGCAACTGACAGAGCATGCAAACGTGATTAATTGGTTTGCGAGCCCAGAAAGACGACCCGGAAAGTATAGCGAGCGCCAAGGAGAGCAACCAGGAGCCAGGAGCACACACCGCAACAGTCGCCAGCGGAGACACCCACAGTCAGAGAGCTAGCGAGGAGACAGAGCAGCCACCATGCCACGCGGAAAGTTCGTCAACCACAAGGGCCGCAGTCGCCACTTCACGTCGCCCGAGGAGCTGCAGCAGGAGTCCGAGGAGGAGAGCGACCAGTCGGGCAGCGGCAGTGGCAGCGACAGCGATGCGGAGGACGGCAAAGCCAGCGGCTCCGCAGCAAAACCAAAGCCATCGACCGCCCGGAAACCCGCCGCCGCTGCCAGTCGCCAAACGACGCAGCGACAGAAGCAGCGGGCAGCCGGCGGAGCCGGTGGCTCCTCCGAGTCCGAGTCGGAGGAGGATTCCGAGGAAGACTCCGAGGCGGAGGCGCGTGATGCCAAGAAGGGCGTGGCTTCCCTGATCGAGATCGAAAATCCCAACCGTGTGACCAAGAAGGCAACGCAAAAGCTTTCCGCCATCAAGCTGGACGATGGCCCAGCTGGTGGCGGCGGTGCTCCCAAGCCGGAGCTGTCGCGCCGCGAACGCGAACAGATTGAGAAGCAAAAGGCGCGCCAGCGTTACGAGAAGCTCCATGCTGCGGGCAAGACGACCGAGGCGAAGGCGGATCTTGCCCGTTTGGCTCTCATCCGGCAGCAGCGCGAGGAGGCGGCCGCCAAGCGGGAGGCGGAGAAGAAGGCAGCCGACGCTGGCGGCAAGAAACCAGGAGCCAAGTAGACACACCGCCGGCAAAGAATGCGAATGCTCATGCTCTCCAACCAAACCCAATCCTAATCCTAATCCCTCACCCAACCGAACCGAACAGAACCGATAAAGCAATGGCAACCACTGGGGCTAATGGCAATTAGATAAGTAAATTAACCAAGTAAAGTAGCACGATCCACGATTCGTGCCGATTCAAAATTTCTTCAAGTTTTCTATGCCTGTCTTTTTGTAATTGCGAATTATACAAAATAATACAAAAATAAACCACGATGTATACACGATGGCGCTGCAGCGACTGATAACCTGTCCGAGGGGGCTGAGGTAGCGGGAGCGAGGCGTAATCCGAGCCGATATACTAGGTAAACCCCCGACAATCTTCAGAGCAAAGCCTTGAAGTGCTGTTTTAGGGGTAAATAATGCAGGAATGCCAGATTCCTATGGAACCACCTTCAAAAAATAACGAAAAAGGATCACAGTAACTCTTTTTTTTTTCATTGCAAATCTGCACAAAATGTAATTCCTTAGCTAACTACAAAACTAAACTAAGAATATAGTATTTAAAAAAAGCCTTGTAATATAATTAGTCGCTACACCACGCCCCATACCTCCTCAAAGGCGGAGCAGAGTTTGGAGCACGCTATGGCCGCCGACAGCGGATAATTGCTAATCGAGAACAGCTCCTCCGTGTAGTCCGTCTTGAGCACGCCGTGGGCAAAGGCACCAATGACCATGACAACGGGCACATCGTAGCTGGCACTGCCCTCCTCGCCATGCGGCACCAGTTCCCGACAGTTGGACACTAGCTTGCCGGAGAAGCTCATGGCGTACTTCTTGCAGCCAACGGGCAGGTGATCCGTAATGGGGTTCTTGATCACGCTCATCAGCCGGCGGGATGAATCGTTAGCCCGGATCTGGAACTTGTGCAGCAGCTGGACCATCAGGCCAGCGAAACGTTTAAAGGTGCGTGGTATGCGCGTCTGTGGATTGATCTCGATCAGCACATTGTGCTCGGTGCGGATGAACACCTGCAGCAGACCGGCGCGGTTCAGTGGGGAGTCGAACAGCATAAGGAGACACTGGTGGGTGATGTCTGGGCGACAGCTGCCCGGATCTCGCTGGTTCTTGCGCATGATGCCCGCGTGGTCGTCGCAGTTCAGCAGCTCGAATTGGTTGTGCACCTGCAGGGGATTGAGATGGTTAAAGGCACTCTCTGGCCAGTAGTTGGAGTCTATCTCCTACCTTCACAGTCTCCAGTTGAGCGCCCTCCAAGACGATGATCAGACGCTTCTCGCTGGCGTTCAAGTGCAGCACCTTGAACTGCTTCTTGTCCAAGTCGAACTCTGGGTCGTCCGCTTTGCGGCCCACGAACTTGCGTTTCCGGTTGATTGCCTTTCCTTGGCCTCCCATGCTGTCTAGGATTGGATATAGCCTGCCGATTCGTCCCAAAATCCCCGAAAACCAAAAACAAAACGAGCACGCGGCGCCGATTTAGTGACGGGAGTGGAGGTGAGAAAATATCGATGAAGCCATCGATTTGGCGATACATCAATAGCTTTTCAAAAATGCGATAAATTAATATCTATTATAATATTTGTTAGAGATACATCGATGCTATAAAAACAAACATAAAACCATTTTATTTAAAACAATTTAATATATTTTAAATTATTTTTTGTATTACTTTAAAACATCGATAATTGCGAACATCGATGTTTCTCCACCTCTAACATCTATGGTGATGCCAGATCGTTCACAGATCTAGTCCGTGCATTTCAAAGGTGTGTGTCTTGGGTTGGTTTACTTTCGCCAAACTGTTCCCACTCTTAGTTTATAGCGAACTAAGGCAGTTTTTTATAGCATGAAATAATTTTATAATTTGTATAAATAATAAATAAATAAATTAAGATAAATAAAATACATTTCTTTGTGCAATTTTGTAACCCCCTTATAAAATTTTGAAAAAATGGTGAAACTATTTTTTTGTTATTTTTGAAGAACAATCAAAATTTTGAAAATCTGTAACACAGCCAAAAACGCATTAAATTCAAATTTGTCTTAGTTTTTAAAGGGTTAATAAATCTGCATACTCCATTTATGTTTTTCATTTTCTAATTTTTAAAATTTTTTTACATATTTGACGAAGTAACACCTTATAAAATGTAGAAAAAATTGATCAACATTTTCTTATTCTTAGATACCTAGATCGAATCGCCTGATGATGCTGATCCGGAATATATTTGCTTTATAGGGTCAAAAATGAGTACTTAACTGCCGTGCATTATTATTAATAAAATTATTAAAATAAATTATAATAATCATGTATTTAATTTTCGACTCATAATAATATTTCTCGATTTGAAGAGCTATCGGATATACCATATATATAAATAATGTATCGTAAATCTCCTTTTTGATAGTTACAAAGACTTAAACTTATTCCTCTCCAAATCCCTTGATCCCTTCCTCGATAAATCCTGGCCATCTCTGGGTTTCCATTGATATTGAGGAATATTGAGAAATCGATTCCTTTAGCCGGACCCTTGATCATGAATAATGCCCCGCATTGGCACCTAATGCCGGCAGAGATCAGACACGCCGTGGAGGAACCTAATAAATCGTCGCTCCTGTTGTCGCCGCTGGGCGCTTCTTGTCTATTTCCGTATTTTCCGTCGACAGAGAGCCAGGGGAAGAATTGAATATAGAGGGGAAAATGGGAAATCCATTTGATTAAAACGGTACGCCGGCCGGGAAATCCCAATCCCCGGGCGGAGGGGGGATGATGCGTTGGGTGGTTCGCATTAAGACATCAAATAGACAACAAAGGCAGGAGGGGGAGGCGGAGGAGGATGAGGCGGAGGACCTGGCGAAACCCTGACAGCAGTTCGAATCGTTAAGCTAGCCAAGTGGAAAAGGCAGCCAGAAGTTCACCACGAAAGCACTTCCCCCGCATCCACCTGCCGCCGCCTGCTCTCTGGTGCTTGAAATTAGATTTCTGCCGTTGGCCAGCATTCGTTACGAGGTTTACAGCGGCACACGTTCTCCGGCTCTACACTCTCCGGGTCTCCAGCCTCATTTTGGTTACTATTTTCTTACACTTGAAAAAAACTTTAGACTAGTACTGGATGTTTTTCATAACTTCTTATGCAAAAACCGATTTTAAATCGATTAAAATCCAAGTTTTCATATATTTCTCTAGTTCTTCTTGGGTTACAATATTATTTCCCTATCATTATGGTTACTTTTTTCTTACACTTAAAAAATCTTAAGGATGTGATGAATGTTTGTAATATTTTCCTCTGCAAAAATCGATTTTAAATCGATTAATAAACATGTTTGTATATATTTCTCTAGTCCTTCTTGGGTTACATTATTTTTTCGCTGCTTCTGTTATAATTTTTTCAATACAAATAAGTTTAAGGATCTTAAATTCCATAATACATATAAGAAAATAAATATTTTCTTCAAGTGTACACCTAGAATATAGAGTTGGCTTGAGCCTGGAAAATCCTTGGGTTAGCTACAGCTGATTTATGCTTGGGGCTCTGCCACAGCAGGCACGGCAAGGTAAAGGGGGCCACCGACGAGGCTGGGCTGGGGGAGTCGATGTTTACGAGCGGATTAAGTTTTGCCTTCGAACAAATTCCATTTGAATTTAATGAGCCCGGAGATTACATCACCGAAAGGGAAAGGAGAACACTGCGGAGTGGGGGATGGGGATGCATGAAGGATGGGGATGCATTTTTAATTGAATGATGTCGCCAGGCTGCTGCAGTCGCCGGTCTGCTCTGTGCACAATTTGACAATCCATCAAGGCGCCAATGATAGCGATGACACAGAAGATCGATTCTGTGATAACATATCGATAATATATCGTTTAATAAATATAAAAATGTATAGATTTTTCTGTAATATGTGGAGATTATAAATATATATATCTATAGATTCTAAATATATTAGATACATATGTATTAGGTTATTCTAGATTTTTCTATATTTTGTATCTTTATTATTTTGAATTATGTTTTTATTTATTTATTATTTTAAAATATTTATTGAAATTTTCTATATTATTTTTATTTTTATTTATTATAATTATTATTACAATCAACTATATTAAATAAATTCCAACTAAAATTATTTAGTTATCGATAATTATTGATAAACAATTTTCTCGATAAAATTTTAACCACGATTCGTATATTCGATATGATTTTGATATTTCCGGGCTAGGAATTATATTTTAGGATGTTGAGACTCTCGATATTACTTGTAAAACTAAATTATATTATATTCAAAATCGATATACTTGATCGATCAAGTTTCTCTACAAGATATAGAAATACTTCCCATATTTGCTGTCCAAGCCACATCTCTTGTTTGGTATAGTAGTGTATACCCCCCGCCTCAGATCCAATCCACTTAGACAAAGCATTGTCTCTAATTTATGCCGCCTGCGTTGCCGCCTTGTCCTCAATTAGTTGCAACTGCAGCAGCAGCAGCAGCAGCAGCAGCAATGTGCAACATGCATCAACGGCTGTTTACCCTTGGGATCGCTGGGAGGCGTGCTGTATTATCTTCATATATATCTCTTTTCGGGGGCGACTTCTCCACTTACAGTTACACGACAAACCGAAAACTATTCGTCTAACATTACACGATACTTAACCGCCGCTTATTTATGTCCCTGTCATCGCCTCTCAGCTGCCTCGTCTCCATCGTTGTCGTGCTCCCCATTCTCCGCCCACAGAATGCAAAATTAAATATCATTTGGGGGCTTCTTTTGGTTAATTGAAACCTGTTGTAAATCACAAATCATATTGACTTCCCCCCCGAACAGAGTCTGATATAGAAACTAAAACAGATATAGAAACTAAAACAGCAGCGGATGTCGTCGGTTTTTCATAATTTTCATTTGGGAGGGAAAAGCAAAGAGCGAAAAGCTTCTTTGAAACAGCTGCCAGGCATTGAGATCTATGGGAAGTTTTCTTCTTTTGAAGAAAATGTTGTTTGAAAATGTTGGTTTAAGCTTTTCAATTTTCAAATTGATCAGTGGAAGGATTTTCTAGGAATTATTTTAGGTTAGGTAGCAGTTGTAGAGTGACCAGTTAGTGGTAAAAAACCCATTCTTGGAAAAGTGTGGCCTTAGCTTTAAGTGATGCCAGGCTTTCTACTACAAAAATTCCAAGAAATGCAACTACCAAGTACCTCCTTTAAGGGTTAACACCACCAAGTTCCACTAAAAACCCTTAACCCCATCCTAGATCAGACGGATTAACCGATG